CCTAGGATGGGGTGCTCCCGGACTCGCAGAGAACCCCGACTCTTGGGGTTCAAGAGGTCTCGCACCCGCTCACAATAGATCTCCATATAGCTCACCTGAGTAGGAGAAGCAAAGTAGAAGTAACAAAACTAACAACAACACTGACAATGAAACTTGATCTGAATCCACTGGACACGATCCAGTGACTGCAGCTAATCCATGGTGCGAAACATTCTGCAGATGCTGGCTCAGTGTCCTGCGCAACAAGCCAGGAGGTAGGTCCGATCATTAGCATCTCACAGATGAACACACGAAGCTGAAGGACAGAATCACTGCCCAAAGTCACAGTTGGTAACCATCAGACAGGATTAGATTCCAGGCTATCTGGTTCTAGCAACTGTCCTCAGCAGTCTGGATCCCCTCTTAGCCCTGCAACCGAGACCTGGGCTTACCTCCACAGAGTAGGATAGCTGAGCACTCTGGTTCTCACTAACGCGAGAGAAGAGGTCCTCGCAGAGCTGGAGAGGGACACAGAGAAACACAGACACTCCTGTTCAGGGAATACCTGAACAGCCACAGGCCAAGTGTCCAGCCACAGGCCAAGCCCAGTCCCAAGTGACCCCAGTGAATCCCTGCCACAGCCCTGAGGGTGGGGTTATTCCCATTTTACAGATGGGAAAACAACCTCAGAAACGTTCCCACTTGCCCAAGATCACAGGCTAGCATTCAGCCAGCCAGAGTGCACACCCCAGGCATCCTGACTCCCAAGCCTCTGTACCAGGTCTCTATGCTGCACAGCCAGGGACAATTGCAGTTAACTCTGCTATCCTCACCGGCGTTTCTACAGTTAACACCCTGCCAATGGTACACAAGCCTATAGGATAACCATACTCACAAATTATCATGAAACTAAGTAAAACAGTGCTAAGTGGTAAAACTGGCTCACTGATGCCAAAGCCTTACTATTCTCACCGAGGCTTGTTGTCTCCCATGGGGCAAACCACCCCCCACCGACCCCAAAGGGTTGTCCAGCTTGCAATCAGCCTCTATCTCCCATTACATTGCCTTTCACCAATGGCCTCAGAGCCAGGTCTCTGTTTCATAATCCTTAGACCCTGGTCCTTCCTCCCTCAGGGGGCAGCTAAAGAAAGATGTTCCTGCCCCGGCTACCCCACCAGGTCCTGGGAGTACCTGGGGCACGATGCCCTGCTGCCCTGGCTCCTGTCGGCCCATCATGGTATAGGATTTCCCAGCCCCAGTCTGCCCATAGGCAAAGATGCACACGTTGTAGCCTTCAAAAGCATGGAGCAGCATCTCTTCTCCAATGTCCCGATACACTTGTTGCTGAGATGCAAACTGGGGGTCCTCCGCCTAGGAGAATGCAGCAGTAGAGAAAAAGAGAAGAAACCCTGGATGACTTCATCCTTCATGTCTCTGTCCCAAGGGTCTTGCTTCCATCACTGACGACTGCCCAAAGGTGCTGTGTGCCCTCCCATTCCCATTATTGTCCTAATCGCCCAGAGGATCCTATCCAGCCCCTGCTAGTCCTAATTGCCCCAAAGGATTCTCCTTTCCCCTTTGGGGCCTCAATCATAGCCCAAGGGTCCTACCACCCCTACCCAGGATCATCCTGCAATCCAGCCTGACTAATCCCCTGGAGGTCCTATTTCTTAACATGTCCCCTCCCCAGGACCTCAATCCACTGTTTCTCACTGCCTTGCTCTTCAGCCAGCCCAACAACCTCACCGAAGTGTGTGACCAGTAGGAGTAGTCAAAGGTGAAGCTTTTGGGGGCATCCTTGCTCTGTTTAGGATTGATGATGGCTGAGGAGTATGAGAGGGTAAAGAAAGGAAAGTCAAGGTCAGGTACTCCCAGCCTCTGCCCATATCCCCACCAGCCCCTGGAATCCAAGCATCCCACTCCCCACCACTGTCCTGACTCATCTCTCCCCTTTGATTTTCCCCACCCCCTCCAGTCACCAAAGCTAATTTTGGCTTCCTAGGACCCGCCCCCACTGAGCTGCCTCCCTGGATTGGGCAATGGAGGGCTCCAGGCCAACATTCCCCCTCCCAGGGACTGGGAACATGGGAAAGGCCAGCATGCCCCAGCCCCTACCCTTACGACTAGCACCTGCTCTGTGCCCAGCACAGCTCTCCCCCTAGTTTGGCCCAGTGGGACTGGCCTGTGTGGTGGGCTCGGCCTTCCCTGACTGTGCCCAGCCAGGCCCCAGGGACTCACTCACAGGTGGTGTTGCCCTGCATGCTGACCACACACTTGGCATCCTGGCTGGTCTCACGGGCATTAAAGGGCCGAACCCTCACTGCCACTTTCACCGAAGCACCAGCCATGGCTGCAGACACTCCTGCCCTCCTCAGCTGGAGGACAAAAAAAGGTATGGTAGGGTCAGAGCCACTGGGGGGACCCAGACATTGTCTCCCGGCTTCTTCCCGTAACCAGCCTCTTCACATCTCCCCCAGAACCACCCAGCCTCTCAAGGATCCAGTTCTCACTCTCCTGGCTTTCCTCCCAAATGTCACTGTCTCGAGAGACTCCCAAAAGTATTTCTGCCTTTCTCCCCAGCCATATTCCAGCTTGCCAGGACCTGGGCCATCTCCCCAGAGTTACCTGGCGTCCTGGCCCCAGACCAAAGGGGCTGTATCAGTTCTGGCTGCCACCGGCCCTCGTAGGGGGTGCCCCATCCTATTCCTGGGGCCTGGCCACACCAGCTGGGGCTCTGGGAGATACCCTGGTTGTGGGGGAAGAGTTGTTAGGAAGCACCTGTGGCTCCAGAGACCTGTCTGGGGTTTCCAGGTTGGAGGGCCAAGGGTAGGGGGGCAAACGTAGGAAAGGTACGGACAGCTGCCCCTCTGGAGTGGCTGAATGCAATGTGAATCCAAGGGCAGGGACGGTGATATTTTTATTCCTCGTCACTCTCAAGTGTACTCAATGTTCAGATAGAGGAGAGAGAGAAAGAGGCTGGACAGAGGGCAATTCAGAGAGAGGGGCACATGAGCAGAGATGTGAAGATGGCAATAATAAAGAGAAGAGAGGCAGAGAGTTGCAGACACCAAGCAAATAAGACAAAAGGCAAGTCTGCAGTCATGCTATGAAGGAAAGAAGGGGAGAGGAAAGGAAGAAGAGACAGAGGACAGCAAAACACAAAGTGTTAAAGAGGCAGAGTGGGGAACTCTCAGGCCAAAGCACAAACTGGGAGCCCAGAAGAGAGATGAGAGGAGAGGAAAATACAAATGCAAAACCTGTCCTTTGGGTCAGGCACAGTGGCTCAGGCCTGTAATCCAAGCACTTTGGGAGGCCAAGGCGGGCAGATCACAAGGTCAAGAGATCGAGACCAACGTGGCCAACGTGGTGAAACCCCATCTCTACTAAAAATACAAAACTCAGCTGGGCATGGTGGCACACGCCTGTAGTCCCAGCTACTCCGAAGGCTGAGACAGGAGAATCGCTTGAACCCAGGAGAGATTGCAATGAGCCGAGATCACGCCACTGCACTCCTGTCTGGCAAGAGGGAGACTCCGTCTCAAAAAATAAAAAATAAAAATAAAAAAAACAAAAAAAACTGTCCTAAAATTCTCCCAGAGGTCAGCAAGAGAAAATCCAGTTCCCACCTAGAGCCCACAATCTCCACACACCAGGCCGGTACTGCTGATGGGCAAAGTCCAAGGACTGGAGATACAACCCAGGACTGGGATCCACAGGGCCTACTTTGTGGGCTCTAAGCCCCTTGCCCAGCCCCCAGCACTTCCTCCTCAGGATCCAGGACAATGGGCAGGGGAGGGTGGGGTCATCCTGTATCCATCAGACCAACCCTCAGGGCACCACCCTTGAGGCGCCCAGAAATACCTGTCTTTGAGGGTAGAGGGTCCTTAGGGCCTCCCTGAAAGGGAGAAAAAGAAAAGGAAGCCGGCTGGTCCTACCCTGGGGCTAGTGCTATGGCGTCCACTGTCCTGGGGAAGGTGCCAGGCTGGTGCCCAGGAATGTGGGTGATCGGGTGCCCACACCCTGGGAGGAGAGGTTGAGCAGCCCACGCCCATGGAGAGCAGGGAAAAGGACCATGAAGAAGGATAAGGGATGCTGAGCCCCCTCCTGTGGTCCCAGTGGGCCCCAAACTCCTGCCACACTGGACCTCCCCTCACCAGCCTTCCTGGGCAGAGTATGGGACGGTGAGAGGACTGGTCTGTCCCCAGACAGGAAGGGAGTAGCTGGAATCACAGAAGCTGGCTCAGGAAGAACAGCCCTGACCCCCGAGACCCTCACCAGGGGAGGGAAGGACACTGGTGGCGACAAGCAATGGTGACGCCGCTGCTGTGGCTAATGGGACAGAGAATGGGGTGGCACGGCTGGGGGTCAGCGGGGTAAGGGAATAGAGGTAGGGACAGGATTGGCCGGTGCAGCTGTGAAGGAGCAGAGGGCTACAAGAAGGATACTAGGCGGCTGGGGTGGGGCCGACAGGGCCGAAAGGGGGTCTCTACCTGCACCTTGCCCACCCAGCGGTTCTCACACAGGTCCCCGCCCGGTCTTTCCGGGCGGCCATGCGGACCCGTCCTCCCGTCCAGCCAGCCTGCAGCCGCCCGGGCCTGGCACCTCTCTGCGCCTCCGCGGAACAAACAGCACATGATTCCGGCTCTCGAGCCCAGATCGCGCCGCCGGGGAACGCAACCCGGACCCCGGCTCCCGGACCCCGGCTCCCCGCCCCCAAACCCGGCACATTCCTCCGCGGGCGTCCCTTCCCTCCCCCTTCCCCAGCCCTCACCTCGGCGCGACGGGGCTCCCGGAGCAGCTCGGCGGAATGAGAGGGTCAAGCTTTCCGGGAAGCGTGAAGCGGCAGCGGGGAAGATCCGGGGCCGGTTCGGAGCTGCCCCCGCCCCTCGCCGGGTCCCCGGGCGGCGGGCGGCGGACTCGCGCCCCGGGGGCGGCAGCAGTAGCGGCGCCAGCGGCCGGCGCCCGCCCGGGCAGCGCGAGCTGGGGCGGGAGCGAGGGGCGGGGGACGCGCGAGCGCGCACGGAGGGGCGGCCGCGCGCCGTCCCAGGAAGGGGCCGGGAGCAACCCGGGTTTCTCTTGTTAAAGGGGCAACGCTCCCGGCCTGTGGGGCCCAGCGAGCGGGGACGCGGGAACTGAGCTCCGGACGCGGAAGGGCGGGCAGACACCGCGATACAGGAGGGCTGCGGACGCCTAAAGAGCAGGGAAAGGTCGGGGGCTGACCCACGGGGGGACGCAGGCCCGGGCCCCGCGCACGTCGCCGCCGTCGGAGGCGCGTCCAGGGGGCGGAGCCTCCTGCCGAGCCCCGCCCAGAAGGCGGCTCCGCTCAGGTTCCACCCTCAGGCGCGCACCGCCTGCCAGCTCCGCCCGCTGCTCAAATCGCAGTCTCTCTCCTCCCGGCCCCGCCGAGTTCTAGAATTCGCCGCGCAGCTGCTTCAGGTGCTGAGGCCAAGTGCGGCCGTGGCGCGGCTCCTCGGGCGCTCTGTCCGCGCCTGGCCGTCAAGTTCGGTCGTCCCGGCCGCCGCTTGAGGCCCAAACAATCCCTTCAGGCCCCGGTGCCGCCTCAGGCCGGAGCCGCTGTCTCAGGCCCGGGACTCCCCCTCAGCCTGGGCCCATCACCTCAAGGACCCTCTTGGGGCGGGGAGGGAACGCAGGTCCCCAGTCGTGCCCTCGGGCTGGGCTGCCCGGAAGGTCCGGCCACGTCCGGTCCACCTGCAGAGGGTCCCAGTCGCCCCTTCAGGCCCAGGCCGCGCCCTCCGGCCCGGCACTTCCCCCCAGCGGGTCCCCAGGCTTCAGGCAGCCCCTCAGCCCCAGCCTGACCCTCGGGTCCTCATCCACACTCCCAGGCCGCGGCCACCCCGAGGTCAACGGCGGAGGATCCTTCCTGGCTTCCGTAGCCTTGTCCTGCCCTTGGATCTAGGTCACCCGCTCGGGCCCAACTATCCGAGGCCCAGATGTCCCGCAGCTCCCGCTGCCCCCCGGGTTCTGCTGACCGCCCTCCGAGTCGGGACATCCCTTTCAGCCTAACTCCAGCTAGCCCCATCTGCCGCTTCAGTTGCACGTGCTTCTCTCTCTGCTTTTCGCCCCACCTGCTTTCTCAGCCCATTCCTAGTTACCTAGGATAAATCCGAGTCACCGCTGCAGTTCCAACCAGCTGTTTCTGTCCTAGCCTACATGCCCTCTCCTAACTGATCTAGGGTTTTTTTTTTCTCAGACGGAGTCTCGCTCTGTCGCCCAGGCCGGAGTGGAGTGGTGCGATCTCAGCTCACTGCAACGTCCGCCACCTGGGTTCAAGCGATTCTCCTGCCTCAGCCTCCCGAGTAGTGGGATTACAGGCGCTCACCACCACGCCTGGCTAATTTTTGTATTTTTAGTAGAGATGTGGTTTCACTATGTTGGCCAGGCCGGTTTCGAATTCCTGACCTCAAGTGGTCCGCCTTGGCCTCCCCAACTGCTGGGATTACAGTCCACTTTTTTTTTTTTTTTTTTTTTTTTTTTTTTTTTCTTAGAGACACGACACGGTCTCACTCAGGCTGGAGTGCAGAGTGGTTCCATCTCAGCCTTGACCTCCCAGGCTCAGATGATCCTCCCACCTCAGCCTTCCAGGTACAAGTGCACACGACCACACCTGGCTAATTTTAAAAATATTTTTGTAGAGAGAGGGTTTCACCATGTTGACCAGGCTGGTCTCAAACTCCTGGGCTCAAGCGATCCACCCACTTCCACCTCCCAAATTGCTGGAATTACAGGTGTGAGCCACTGTGCCCAGCCTTAACTGCTTTTTCTCCCCACCCCAACTGGCCTTCAGGTCATCTTTGGCTGTCCCTAATTTTAGCTATGCAACTGACCTCCCTGCTCATCTTCCTATCCATAGGCATTCCCAACTGCCACCTCCCACTCTGTCACCAGTTGACCATTATGTCCACACTTTTTTTTTTTTTTTTTTTTTTTTTGAGACGGAGTTTCGCTCTTGTTGCCCAGGCTGGAGTGCAATGGGGCGATCTCGGCGCACCGCAACCTCCACCTCCTGGGTTCAGGCAATTCTCCTGCCTCAGCCTCCTGAGTAGCTGGGATTACAGGCACACGCCACCATGCCCAACTAATTTTCTGTATTTTTAGTAGAGACGGGGTTGCACCATGTTGACCAGGATAGTCTCGATCTCTTGACCTCGTGATCCACCCGCCTCGGCCTCCCAAAGTGTTGGGATTACAGGCGTGAGCCACCGCGCCCGGCCTTTTTTTTTTTTTAATAGAAACGACGTCTCTCTGTGTTGCTCAGGCTAGGCTCCAACTCCTGAGCCCAGGCAAGGCTCCAACTCCTGAGCCCAGGCAATTCTCATGATTCGGCCTCTCAAATTGCTGGTATTACAGGCGTGAGCCACTGTGCCCAGGCACACAATTAAACTTTGACTAAAAAAAAAAAAACAAAAAAACAAAAAAACTTCGACTAACCACTCATAATTGATTCATTGATAACCCTCAATTCTGCCATTTCTCTTGCCACCCTCAAATGTCTCCACCCCATCCGGTCTCCACTGTCATCATTTTTCATTTTCAGTGTCCCATATTGCCAGTTGTTGCTTAACTGCCATCTGTAAATTTCACTTATTCTGCACATTTAACTTCAGAAGATTTCCTTTCTTTATCTTTTACCACATCCGCTTTTCCTGTGCTGTCTTCAACATGAATGTTCAATTAATAGTCCAGCACTACAAATACTTTTTTTATTTTTATTTTTTGAGATGGAGTTTAGTGGTGCCATCTGGAGTGTAGTGGTGCCATCTCTGCTCACTGCAACTTCTGACTCCCTGCTTCAAGCGACTCTCCTGCCTAAGCCTCAAGAGGAGCTGAGATTACAGGCATGCACCACTATGCCCAGCTAATTTTTGTATTTTTAATAGAGATAGGGTTTCACCATGTTGGCCAGGATGGTCTCGATCTCCTGAATTTGTGATCCACCTGCCTCCCAAAGTGCAAGGATTACAGGCATGAGCTGCCACCACGCCTGACTGCTACAAATGCCTTTTTTGTTTGTTTGTTTGTTTGTTTGTTTGTTTGTTTTTGAGACAGTTTCACTCTTGTTACCCAGGCTAGAGTGCAATGGCGCGATCTCGGCTCACTGCAACCTCCACCTCCTGGGTTCGGGCAATTCTCCTACCTCAGCCTCCTGAGTAGCTGGGATTACAGGCACGCACCACCATGCCCAGCTAATTTTTTGTATTTTTCGTAGAGACAGGGTTTCACCATGTTGACCAGGATGGTCTCGATCTCTTGACCTCATGATCCACCCGCCTCGGCCTCCCAAAGTGCTGGGATTACAGGCGTGAGCCACCGTGCCTGGCCCTACAAATGCCCTTTAAGCTCTCTTTTTTCAGCACCCGCACATTCTTTTTTCAATCTTTAGACCTGCTACTGGTTTCATCCCTATAGCCATTATATGAATGAATGACTTATTTTCCATTATACTCACAGCACCAAAGAGGAGACTAGCTACCCAGCCCAGTCCAGTAATGCAGGTGCAGGAAGATGGAGACAACTTCATCCCCTTTGCCAAGTGAGTCCTCCCACTGGGTGAGCAGCATGGGGATGGGATGGAGGGAAGATTGCAAGCCTGGGTCCTTCTCTAAAAGGATTAGGAAATAAAGAACAGGAAGTGCAATCCCTGGCCTCAGGAGATTGATGATTCATTAATTTATTAAACAAATAGTTTGAAGGCCAGGCAAGGTGGCTTACACCTGTAATCCCAGCACTTTGGGGGGTGGAGGCGGGCATATCTTGATGTCAGGAGATCGAGACCATCCTGGCTAACACAGTGAAACCCTGTCTCTACTAAAAATACAAAAAGGTTAGCTGGGCATGGTGGCACGCGCCTGTAGTCCCAGTTACTTGAGAGGCTGAGGCAGGAGAATTGCTTGAACCCAGGAGGCGGAGATTGCAGTGAGCTGAGATCGTGCCACTGCACTCCAGCCTGGTTAACACAGGGAGACTCCATGTCAAACAAAACAAAGCAAATCATTTGAACACTACAATGTTCTAGGGATTGTATTAGGCACTGGGGATTCAGCAATTAGCAGGATAGGGGTCCTGCTCTTGTAGAGCTTACATTCTAGAGAAGGGAACAAAGAATGTGTAAACAAATATAATTTCAGCTAGTGATGAGTACTATTTAAAACATAAAACAGGGGGCCGGGTGTGGTGGCTCACTCTTGTAACCCCAGCACTTTGGGAGGCCAAGGTAGGCGGATCACCTGAGGTCAGATGTTCAAGACCAGCCTGGCCAACATGGCAAAACCCCATCTCTGCTAGAAATAAAACAATTAGCCAGACATGGTGGCAGTCGCCTATAATCGCAGCTACTCCGGAGGCTGAGGCAGGAGAATTGCTTGAACCCAGGAGGCAGAGGTTGCAGAGAGACAAGATTGTGCCACTGTACTCAGCCTGGGTGACAGAATGAGACTCAATCTCAAAAACGAAAAAACCAAGCCGGGCCAGGTGTGGTCCCAGCACTTTGGGAGGCAGAGGTGGGCAGATCACCTGAGGTGGCAGTTCGAGACCAGCCTGACCAACGTGGAGAAACCCCGTCTCTACTGAAACTACAAAATTAGCCAGACCTGGTGGCACATGCCTGTAATCTCTCCTGAGACAAGAGAATCACTTGAACCTGGGAGGCAGAGGTTGCTGTGAGCCGAGATCATGCCATTGCACTTCAGCTGGGCAACAAGAGTGAAACTTTGTCTCGGAAAACAAAGAAACAACAACAACAACAAAAAACAAGTCCGGGTGTGGTGGTTCACCCCTGTAATCCCAGCACTTTGGGAGGCTGAAGCAGGCAGATCACCTTAGATCAGGGATTCAAGACCAGCCTGAACAACATGGTAAAACCTCATTTCTACTAAAAATACAAAAATTAGCTGGGTGTGGTGGTGGTCGCCTGTCATCCCAATTACTTGGGAGGCTGAGGCAGGAGAATCACTTGAACCTGGGAGGCAGAGGGTACAGTGAGCCAAGACTGCACCATTGCACTCCAGCCTGGGTGACGTGACAAGAGCAAAACTCCATCTCAAACAAAAACAAAAACACTAGGCTAAGTGTGGTGGCTCATGCTTGTAACCCCAGGACTTCGGGAGGCCAAGGTGGGAAGATTGCTTGAGCCCAAGAATTTGAGTCTTCAGTGAGCTATGATCACAGTACTGCATTCCAGCTTGGGCGACAAAGCAAGACCCTGTCTCTAAAAAGAAAGAAAGGAGGGAAAGAAGGCCAGAAAGAGAAAGGAAGAAAGAAAAGTCAAGGTCCTAGAGCTGATGGAGTTAAAAAAAAAAAAAAAAAAAAAGCCGGGCGCGGTGGCTCAAGCCTGTAATCCCAGCACTTTGGGAGGCCGAGGCGGGTGGATCACAAGGTCGAGAGATCGAGACCATCCTGGTCAACATGGTGAAACCCCGTCTCTACTAAAAATACAAAAAAATTAGCTGGGCATGGTGGCACGTGCCTGTAATCCCAGCTATTCAGGAGGCTGAGGCAGGAGAATTGCCTGAACCCAGGAGGTGGAGGTTGCGGTGAGCCGAGATCGCGCCATTGCACTCCAGCCTGGGTAACAAGAGCGAAACTCCGTCTCAAAAAAAAAAAAAAAAAAAAAAAAAAAGGAAGAAAGAAAAGGAAGTGGGGGAAGGAAGGGGAGAATAAATAAATAAAACAAGTATAGGTCGAGTTTGGTGGCTCACATCTGTAATTCCAGCACTTTGGGAGGCCAAGGTGGGAGGATTGCTTGAGCTCAGGAATTGGAGACCAACCTGGGCAACATAGCAAGACCCCGTCTCTGATAAACATTTAAAAGAATTAGCCAGGCATGGTGGCATATGCCTGTAGTCCCAGCACTCAGAAGGCTGAGGCAGGAGGATTGCTTAAACCCAGGAATTTGAGGTACAGTGAGCTCTAATCCAGCCATTGCACTTTAGCCTGGGTGACAGAGTGAGACTGTCTCGAAGAAGAAGAAGAAGAAGAAAAACAGTTTAGATTTTCTTCTAAAGGCAGTAAAAATCAGTGGAAAAGTTTTAAGGCAGACAGTGGCATGACCAACCTTTTTTCCTTCAACTTTTTTATTATGGAAAATTTCAAACAGAGTAGAGAAAATAGTATCACGAACCCCACGTACCCTTTTTAGTCAGCTTCAATAATTACCATTATATGGATAATCTTTTCATCTCTATACCCATGTAATCCCCTACTTCTCAAATTATTTTGAAGTACACCTCAAACCTTATATGATTTCACATGATCATGTTTTAAAAGATTACTCTCAGAGTTCTGTGCAGAATAGATTGTTGGGGGATGGGAATGGAAGCTGAGAGGGGGGAAGAGACTATTGCGACCATCCAGGAAGGGGAAGATGACCTGAAATATAGTGGTAAGAGTGGGAATGGTAAGGAGTGGTCAAATTCAGGTACACAGTATTTTAGACGTAGAACTGACAGGAACTGCTGATGGATTTGATGTGGGAGATGAGGGAAAGTGAGACATACCACATTTTTTGGCCTCAGCAACTGGGCATTTGGGTGCCTTTCATTGAGAGGAGGAAGGTTGGGGAGGAGATGTTGAGTGGAGCCCAGAGAGGAACCCGGGCTAGGTATATAGATTTGGGAGTCATTAGCTTATTGGCAGCATGGGACTGGGTGAGATCACCTAAGAAGAGATGAAAACAGAAGATAAAGGGCCCCAGGTCTAAGCCCTAAGATATTCCATGTCTGAGAGAGCAGGAGGGCAATCATCATTCAGTCTGGGCTTTGGAATTGATGAGCACTGTTCTCAAACAGCTTTGCACACTTCTCCTTATCTACAAGGATATTAGTCCTTCTGAGATAGGGAAGACAAACTAGAGGTAAACAGAAATTCTCTCTCCTGGATCCTTGCATTGAACTAAATGAACCCTATCTGTCATATCACCTAAGTAACCAAGGCTTTCCTCTTTAACAATTCTGCCTGCTAAATATTGCCTTCTCTAACTATGAGGTATAAAGCAAGCTTGTCCAACCTGCAGCCTAGGACATCTTTGAATGCAGTCCGAAACAAATTCATAAACTTTCTTAAAACATCATGAGATTAGGCCAAGCACAGTGGCTCACGCCTGTAATCCCAGCACTTTGGGAGGCTGAGGCGGATGGATCACCTAAGGTTGGGAGTTTGAGACCAGCCTGGCCAACATGGTGAAACCCCATCTCTACTAAAAAAAATTAGCCGAGTGTGCTGGTGCACATCTGTAATCCCAGCTATTTGGGAGGCTGAGGCAGAAGAATCGCTTGAACCTGGGAGGCGGAGGTTGCAGTGAGCAGAGATTGTGCCATTGCACTAAAGCCTGGGCAAAAAGAGTGAAACTCCACTAAAAAAAAAAAAGATTTTCTGTGATTTTATTTTTTTAGTTTATCAGCCATTATTAATGTTGTTAGTTTAGTTTTGTTTTGTTTTGTTTGTTTGTTTGTTTTTAGACAGAGTTTCACTCTTTTTGCCCAAGCTGGAGTGCAATGGCGCGATCTCGGCTCACTGCAACCTCTGCCCCCTTGGTTCAAGGGATTCTCCTGACTCAGCCTCTAGAGTAGCTGGGATTACAGGCACCCGGCACCATGCCCAGCTAATTTTTTGTATTTTTAGCAGAGACGGGGTTTCACTATGTTGGCCAGGCTGGTCTTGAACTCCAGACCTCAGTTGATCTGCCTGCCTTGGCCTCCCAAAGTGCTGGGATTACAGACGTGAGCCACCGCACCTAGCCAGTGTTAGTGTATTTTATGTGTAGCCCCAGACAATTCTTCTTCCAGTGTGGCCCAGGAAGCCAAATGATTGGATACCCCTGGTATAGAGCTTAGACTCAGTGAGATTTGAGGCTCAAACCATAGTCAATCTCTACTTTCAACCCAGCTTCAATTTCCTTTCAAAGCAGAGGCCTTACCCACCTTCCTCAGCTAAAGGGGTTAGGAGAAGACATGGCCTGAGGGAACCCAGGCAGCATTATAGTTCCATGGAAGGATGGCCCCTGAATCCCTGGGGAAAGTAGATTGCTGTAAGGGAAGAGCCAGACCTGAGCCTATCTTGTCCTCACTTCAGGTGTTCCAGGGTGGTCAGCCGATCTCCATCCCCCAGGTTGCCTTCCCAGAGCCTCAGACCAATGCCCCAGCGTTATGGAGGTGTCTTCTGGAAGAATCTCAATCAAAGGCCCAGGTGAGTAGAGAAGAAAATGGAGTCTAATTGGATGTGGGAAGTTGAGGCTGTAAAATTTTAAAACTACCACAAATCCATACAGCAATAAGCCCTAGTCTGGGGTTAATTCCCACTGGCTGATGGACATTATAGCTCCTAATGACAGAAAGGAGGTTGGGAGAGATCATTAAAGAAGGAATTTGGATGGTCGTATCCCCTCTGCACTTATAGCCCCCTTTTTGTTCTTCACAGCCCCAGCTGGATGGAAGAACAGCACATTCCACCCAAGCTGGTAAGACAGACTCTCTGCCCCTCAACACTTCTCTGTTAAAATTGCACCCACTGCTATCCCGTCCCAAACTCTCCTTATTACTGCGTCCTTCTGTTATTCCCCAACCAGTGCACTGACCAGGCCTTCCTTTCTATGAATCAGTCATCATGTTTTCCAAATCACAGGAATCTTCCCAAGATCCCCAGACTCCCTACCTAGTTCAACCCAAGCTCCCCTGAGACAGCCAGTTCTTTCCTCTAGCTCTTTTTCCCCATTCTCTGGCACAGAGAACCACTGGTTGCTCCCAGCTTGGTCTGTACCCTCCTGAGCAGCTCCCACCCCCTGAGATGCTTTGCAGAAGAAAGAAGAGGAGGCTGTGTTTGGAAGGAATGCAGCAGGGATTTGGGGGGGTCCCCGCCCGGGTGAGGGCTGTCACTTACCACTTGGAGGACCTAAGAAGGCGTCAGAGCATCATCAATGAGTAAGGAAGGGAGACATCTGGGTTCTGGGAGTCACACAGGGTTTGGGGGCAGAACAGTTTGAGCTAAGGAAGGGGTTGAGAGCTTTGAGGGGACTGGACTTGCTTGGGAGGGAGCTGTGGGCTTTGGTGTGATGGAAACAGATTTCTGTAATATGGAAAGAGGGAACTGCGATATGGAGGATGAGCCACATGAGCTGGAAGGATTAGAAACTGGATCACTGGCCGGGCGAGGTGGCTCACGCCTGTAATCCCAACACTTTGGGAGGCCGAGGCGGGTGGATCACGAGGTCAAGAGATCGAGACCATCCTGGTCAACATGGTGAAACCCTGTCTCTACTAAAAATACAAAAAATTAGCTGGGCATGGTGGCACGTGCCTGTAATCCCAGCTACTCAGGAGGCTGAGGCAGGAGAATTGCCTGAACCCAGGAGGTGGAGGTTGCGGTGAGCCGAGATCGCGCCATTGCACTCCAGCCTGGATAACAAGAGTGAAAACTCCATCTCAAAAAAAAAAAAAAAAAAAAGAAAAAAGAAAAAAGAAACTGGATCACTGAAGACAAGAAAGCAAACCATAGCACTAGATGACAGTGGGGAGGTTGGGGTCACCTCTGGGTTCCTAGACAAAATGCTTCAGTTCTGAGAGGAGCAGAAAATTTGGGAGGGGAGAGTTAGAGGTCAAATGACAACACCCTTGAGTTCCAGCAGGAAGTATTTCAGAACAGAAAAGTGAAGAATGGAGAGACAGGAAGCCTGGCCTCCAGGCTCCTCTCTCCTCAGCCTAAGGTCTCCACAGACTGAAGAAGGCCCAGTGGGGTAGCTCTGGGGCTGCATCTGAGCCAGTGGTGCTTGGCAAAGAGGGCTGTGGATTCCCTAGCACCAATGAATACCCTGATCTGGAAGAGGAGAGGGCAACCTATCCACAGGAAGAGAACCGTTTTCTCACTCCTGGCAGAGCCCAGGTATGGTTGGAGTGGAACTGGGTGGAGTGAGAGGGAATTATGAGGGCCTCTGATCTTGCTGGAGAGGCAGCAGAAGCCGAAAGCCAGGTTAGATAGCTGGATTTGAGAGGAATAAAAACAACATAGTGAGAGCCAGAGACTTGGAAGTACCTAAGCTTGGGGACTAGGAAATCTCAAGAAAGACCTACTTTTCCATTCTCTTTTTCAATTTCTCTCATCTTTACAGCTGCTTTGGTCTCCCTGGAGTCCCCTGGGTCAGGAGGAGGCTTGTGCCTTCAGGCAGCCACGCTCTCTGGCCTCCTTCAGCACTGTCACAGCCAAGAGGAACCCCCTGCACAATCCCTGGGGGATGGAGTTGGAGTCTGAAGAGTAAGGAGATCTGATGCCAAGATGATAGTGGTGCCTCAGGGACCCAAGACTAGTTCTTCACTAGAATCAACCCCATTGCTGACATGAAGGTGTTTCCCCTTCCTTAGCCTCTCCAACTGCCTTTCCCATTCTCTGAACTGGGCATTAACAGCCTCCCCCCTCCCACCCCAGGGCTCCCATCTCAACCCACAGCTCTCACAAGAGCACCCCCAAGTCCTGTTTTCCTCTAGGCCCCGCTCCCGGCCTTGTGTTCTCTCTGCTCTGTTATTAAAAAGCAAGCAAGTGGAGCCTGAGTCATCTTTCTTCCTGGGAAGCAGTGATGGAGAGGCCAATGGAGGAGGGTTCCTTTCACTTTCTCGAGGACCCAACTACAGTGAAGTCGGGCTGGGTCCCCAAATTCAAGGAGCCTTGTCCGAGGCGAGAAGGGTCTTGCTCCTCGCCCAGCGTTCCTCGCCCAGCCCCTAGGGTTCCAGCACTGGACCGCTGCCCCCGTTTCATTCCCTGGGATGGGGCATCAGTCTGCCGAGCTTCTGCCTCCAGGACCCTGGAATCCTGGCCCGCAGGGCTGCTGCCCTTTTGGGGACTTCCCAGCAGTCTGTCCCTCGGCCTGGCTCAGAGCCCTAGAAGCCGAGTCCCTCTGCCCAGCGCCCCACCAAGAACCCCACGTGTGCTGACCCCAGGTTCCCTTCCTGACTCCATCCCCTTAATTGGGAGGCCCCGCCCCGTGCGCAGTGACGTCAGACGCCGCTGTCAGCCGGCGCTGGGGGGGGGTCGGTGTGGGGTAGAATGGCCGCTGCCGCCGTCACCCGCGGGACCCCTGGAGGTAAGAGCCAGGGCCTCTCGCCCGTCTCTCCGCCCCCGCGCCAGGGGGCGCAGCTCCCTCAGGTCCCAACGCGGAGCGCCGCGCCGGGGACCACCGTCCCTACTCTCGGTTCGCCCTCACCTCCCGCTTCCGTCCTCCTCCCCCGCGCCAGGGGGCGCCGCTCCCCGCAGGGCCCCACGGCGAACCAGCGCGTGCCAGGCTGTCCCGGGGACCCCCGCACCCGGCACCCGCACTGTCCCTCGCCCACTCCGTGCTCGCGGACTCTGCTCCCGGCTTCTACAGAAGATCCTTACGTGCGGGCGGGACCCTCCCACCTCGGAGGTTCTGGGACCACCACCCCGCCGGGGGGCCGCCCAGAATGCCAAGCGTCCGATCCGGCGCTGCCCCAAGGCCTGCAGCCCAAGGACCCGCTCCCGCTCCGCACCCTGGCAGGCTGCCTAGCCAGGACTGCGCACCTGCGCCCTGGGGCGGAGTCCTTACCCCAACCGCAGCTTCACTGCACACAGCTGAGCCCGACGGGCCTCCTCCCCTCTCCATCCTGGACACCTGGCGGAGCCCGTGCTGAGAGCCTCCTCCAGCTCCCATCTGTTCCCCCAGGAGCGCAGTAGGGGGAGAAGGGGGAACTCAGGCTGGAACCAGAGCGATAGATGGGGTAGGCTAGGCCTGGAGGCCAGGGGAGGCAGAGGCGTTTGGGGAGAGGGAGGTAGAGAGGGCTGTCAGCCGGAGGGCTGATTGTCCTGAGGGTGGGAAGCTGGGTGTCTGGCCCAGATTGTACGAGGCCCTAACCAACCTGGAGGAGAGAATAGGTTAGGCTGAGTTATCAGATCAGCCCTTCCTCTTGGAAAAATCAAATAGAGAAGGAACTCAGGGTGTGTCTTCTAAAGGCCTAGCTCTCTACCGGAGGTAGAATCTCCTGCCCTGCCCCCAGGATCCAGGCTGTCTTGCCAAACCATCCTCCAAGGACTGGATAGCCTGAGTCCCAATCCCCAAGACCTGACCCAACCGTAGCCCCAGTCTGTGCAAAAGCTCAAGCTTCAGGGCCTCTGAGGCCCCAGCCCTGCCATTCTTCTCCCCTCCCCCACCCCACCCCATTTCTTCCTGGTCACTCTTTCTGTCCTGTATCCTCACTCATGTTGGCTCCGGGCACTGTGTCTGGTTCTCCCTTATACTGTCACATCATAGTTAGTCCTTTCCTCTCTTTTCTCATCCTTCCCAGATACCATGACCCAGTTCTATATTCATTCCCCACCTAATACATCTCATCCAGGATTAATGTGGGTCTTCTGCCATGACCGTGTTCTCTCCCTTCCCAGCACAGACTCCCCCTCCCCCCGGCCCCTCAGGCCGGGGGTGACCTTGCCCCTTGGAGCCCTCACCATGAATACCAAGGACACCACTGAGGTTGCTGGTAAGTTCACAAACCAGGTTTCCAATTGGGTCACAGCCTTTCGTTCTCCCCATGCTTTAGTGGCCCTCTAATTCTTGGATTCCCTGTTCTCCTTAGCAAGGTTTTGTTTTCCCCAGTGCTCTGTATCACCTTCAGGCCTTTCCCCCAGGGCTGTCACAGGGATGCCCCTGGGTGGCACACTAAGCCCTACCTTCTAATTCCCTTTAGAAAACAGCCACCACCTGAAGATCTTTCTCCCCAAGAAGCTGCTGGAGTGTCTTCCTCGATGCCCGCTGCTGCCTCCAGAGAGGCTACGGTGGAATACAAATGAGGTTTTCTAGGGAGGCTGGGGTTGGGGCCCAGCAAGACCTAGTGGGCTGGAGGAGGGTGAGTGGGGGGGGGTCTCTCTCTGTCGACACTCCTAAGGGCAGAGCTCCACTCTTTGGGGATTATAGCAGAGGTATAAAGACATGGATCTTGGCTGGGTGCAGTGGCTCATGCCTGTAACCCCAACACTTTGGAAGTCCAAGGTGGGTGGATCACCTGAGGTCAGGAGTTCAAGTCCAGCCTGGCCAACATAGTGAAACCCCATCTCTACTAAAAATACAAAAAATCAGCCAGGTATGGTGATGCATGCCTGTAATCCCAGCTACTCAGGAGGCTGAGGCAGGAGAATCGTTTGAGCCTGGGAGGCTGCGGCTGCAGTGAGCTCAGATCGCATCATTGCACTCCAGCCTGGGTGACAGAGTAAGACTCCATCTCAAAAAAAAAAAAAAAAGTCATGGATCTGGTAGGAGCCCTCTTCTCCTTGGCATAGCCACCTGGGTAAAAACAAAAGCTACTGCCAAGAAAGTATTCCTTACATACTGGGCACTGTGCTAAACACTTGGCCTGCCTTGTCTCATTTAATCCTCTAAATATGCTATAGAGCAGGCCCTGTTATTGCTCCCATGTTATTGAGAGGAAACTGAGTTACCTCATGGTTTATGTAACTTACTCTAGAGCCTTTTTTTTTTTTTTTTTTGAGACGGAGTTTCACTCTTGTTACCCAGGCTGGAGTGCAATGGCGCGATCTCGGCTCACTGCAACCTCTGCCTCCTGGGTTCAGGCAATTCTTCTGTCTCAGCCTCCTGAGTAGCTGGGATTACAGGCACACGCCACCATGCCCAGCTAATTTTTTGTATTTTTCGTAGAGACGGGGTTTCACAATGTTGACCAGGATGGTCTCGATCTCTTGACCTTGTTATCCACCTGCCTCGGCCTCCCAAAGTGCTGGGATTACAGGCTTGAGCCACCACGCCCGGCCTTTTTTTTTTTTTTTTTTTTTGAGATGGAGTCTCACTCTTTTTGCCCAGGCTGGAGTGCAGTGGCATGATCTTGGGTCACTGCAACCTCCATCTCCCAGATTCAAGTGATTCTCCTGTCTCAGCCTTCGAAGTATCTGGGATTACAGGCATGTGCCACCACGCCTGGGTAATTTTTATATTTTTTAGTAGAGATGAGGTTTCACCATGTTGGTCAGGCTGGTCTTGAACTCCTGACCGCAAGCGATCCATGTCGGCCTCCCAAAGTGCTGGTATTACAAGCAGGAGCTACCGTGCCTGATCTATTTTTTTTTAGAGATGAGGTTTCACCTTTTTGGCCAGGCTGGTCTTGAACTGCTGACCTCAGATGATCCACACATCGGCCTCCCAAAGTGTTGGGATTACAGGCGTTAGCTACCATGCCCAGCCCTTTTTTTTTTTTTGAGACATGGCCTCACTCTGTCACCCAGGCTGGAGTGCAGTGGCACAGTCTCCACTCACTGCAATCTCCACCTCCCAGGTTCAAGCGATTCTCCTTCCTCAGCCTCCTGAGTAGCTGGGACTACAGGTGCGCACCACCACACCGGACTAATTTTTGTATTTTTAGTAGAAAAGGAGTTTCACTGTGTTGGCCAGACTGGTCTGGAACTCCCAACCTCATGATCCACCTGCCTTGGCCTCTCAAAGTGCTGGGATTGCAAGCGTGAGCCACCACACCCTGCTGGAACCTTTGTTTATAACCACTACTGATACTGGCTCCGTCTGGAGGGCATAGTCCTTGTATTACACACCTTCTGTATCCTGTGTACTTAGTGCCTTGTATGCAGTTGGTTGTCGATAATTATCAATTCGATATCAGAAGAGGACTGTCAGTAAAAGGGTGCGTGTGTGTATGTGTGATTGTTGTAAGTGCTATAGAGCCTTTAGAAGGGCCAATGTGGCCGGGCATGGTGGCTCATGCCTGTAATCCCAGCACTTTGGGAGGCCGCGGTGGGGGAATCACAAGGTCAAGAGATCGAGACCATACTGGCTAACACAGTGAAACCCCATCTCTACTGAAAAAAAAAAAAAAAAAAAAAAGATTAGCCAGGTGTGGTGGCACGCACCTGTAGTCCCAGCTACTCAGGAGGCTGAGGCAGGAGAATCGCTTGAACTCAGGAGGCGGAGGTTGCAGTGAGCCGAGATCGAGCCATTGCACTCCAGCCTGGGTGACAAAGTGAGACTCTGTCTCAAAAAAAAAATAAGAAGAGCCATTGTGGTCAGCAGGTTTCATGGAGCTTCTGAAAAGGGGTTTGGTTTATAGAAATAGCTAGAATTTCTAGACACGGCGAGGTACTTGCCTTGTAGGGAACTAACATGCAGGAGGTGACTGTTCAATGCATGTTCCGGAAGAAATCAGTGGTCCCATCTGGCAGGAATTGTAGGAGCAATATGGGTAAATAGTGGGAATAGTGGTTTGATTCCTTGTTGGGGAGAACCTTGGAATCAAGCTAAAGAATCGGAAATTCCTGGCAGTGTCAAACCACTGAAGTTTTTTGAGTCAGGAAGGGGTACAGAGGCCAGGCACAGTGGCTCACTCTTGTAATCTCAGCGCTTTGGGAGGCTGAGGTGGGTGGATCACCTGAGGTCAGGAGTTTGAGACCAGCCTGGCTAGGCTAACACACTGAAACCCATTTCTTTTTTTTTTTGTTTGTTTGGTTTTTTTTTGTTTTTTGAGACGGAGTTTTCGCTCTTGTTTCCCAGGCTGGAGTGCAATGGCGCCATCTCGGTTCATCGCAACCTCCGCCTCCCGAGTTCAGGCAATTCTCCTGCCTCGGCCTCCTGAGTAGCTGGGATTACAGGCACATGCCACCACGCCCAGCTAATTTTTTGTATTTTTAGTAGAGACGGGGTTTCACCATGTTCACCAGGATGGTCTCGATCTCTTGACCTCGTGATCCACCCGCCTCGGCCTCCCAAAGTGCTGGGATTACAGGCTTGAGCCACCGTGCCTGGCCTACTGAAACCCATTTCTACTAAAAATACAAAAATTGATGGTTGGTCCCTGTAATCCCAGCTTGAAACTAGGGGATAGAGGATGCAGTAAGCCAAGATCACACCATGTACTGCACCCTGGACAAAAGAGTGAGACTCTGCCTCAAAAAAAAAAAAAAAAAAAGAAAAGAAAAAAGAAAGGGCACAGAAATGAAATTGTTGGAGAATAAAATAATTCACGGTATGAATGGATGATGAATAATGTGGACTTGCCCCCAAGATAAAGGCCCGAGGTGGGAGCAACAGAAGGAGAAAATGTTAGACTTTTGTCTTAGGACAAAAGGGTTCTTAGGAGGACAGTGGGTCTTGCTGGGTCCACTGCTAGCTGCCACATCCTCCACTGGCTGCCACAACTCAGCAGAGAGTGAGACACTGATGGGATGACCAAGAGGCCAGGCTGAGACTCTCTGTGAGGGAGACACCCATCTGAGTGCTTCCTCTCCTACAGGAGATTGCATCCTACTTGATCACCTTTGAGAAGCATGATGAGTGGCTATCTTGTGCCCCAAAAACAAGGTGAGAAAGTTTGAGAACTTTGGGGAGTGGCAGGGGCCCTGGGTTCTGTTCACAGAACTCCAGGACAACTCTTCCCTTCCCAGGCCTCAGAATGGCTCCATCATCCTCTACAATCGGAAGAAAGTGAAATATCGGAAGGATGGTTACCTCTGGAAGAAGAGGAAGGATGGGAAGACCACGCGAGAGGACCACATGAAGCTGAAGGTCCAGGGCATGGAGGTAAGAGACTCAGACATTCAGCTCATCTGCCCAAGCCTGCCCTCCTCCACCCTTAGCTGGGCTCCAGCCCTACCAGGGCTTGGTGACATTGTCCACCTCAGCTCCCTCCCAGTCAGTCTTCCCTTCTCTCTCTCTCTCACTCTGGATCGGCTCACTGATTGTGTTGGCCACTCTCTACTTCCCAGTTCCCTCCATGACTCAACTCTCTTAGGCCATGCCTCCCTTCCAGAACTGATGCCCAGGCCCCTCACTGCTCTTGTGTTTCCCTCAGGGATCCAAGCAGTGATGATCTCAGCACAGGTTTCTCTTCCCCCAAATCATTGCCCCCTCATCTCAGATGCATTCTTGCTCTGCCCTCTGGTTTCTAGACAGTCCCATCTCTCAAATCTGGTCCTTATTGTAAGGTCCCAGCCTCACTGTTCCTTTCTCTCCATCCCTCATCTATGACAGGGCTGCTGAGATTCAAAAGGGGTGGGGAAATAGGTGGGGGTGAGGGTGGGGGAAGGGTTGAAGAGGAACTGGTGGAAAGATTGGGATTCCTGCAAAGGGACTGAACAGAGGAAGAGTTGGGGAGCAGACTAGCCCTCCCCCCACCCCAGCCTGTCTCCTGGCAGTGTCTCTATGGCTGCTACGTTCACTCTTCCATCGTCCCCACATTCCATCGGCGCTGCTACTGGCTGCTCCAGGTAAGGACGGAAGAGCCCAGAGAGCCAGACTCTTCCTGGCTCTTTGAGGGACATGGGTCTGAAAGCATTAAGTGAAAGGATGACTAGATTCTGAGTGAGGAAACAGGCCTGGGAAGAAGAGAAAGGGACTTGGGGATGGAGAGAGCCAGAAATTGGGGGTGAGGTGAGGAGGGTGCCCAGGAAGAAAGTGAGGATTAGGAAGCTGAGCCCCTGGACCTCAGGACCCCATGGCTCTGTGTCCCGTTATGCTCTCAGAACCCCGACATCGTCCTTGTGCACTACCTGAACGTCCCAGCCCTGGAGGACTGTGGAAAGGGCTGCAGCCCCATCTTTTGTTCCATCAGCAGCGACCGTCGAGAGTGGCTGAAGTGGTCCCGGGAAGAGTTGTTGGGACAGCTGAAGCCCATGTGTAAGGCAGCAGAGTGGGATAGAGCTCCAAGGGGAGAGTGGAAACAGGGGCTCCCAAAGGGGCCATGGTTCTATATCCAAAGCCTGTGGGGTGATCATTTCCCTTCAAGCTGGGAGGGTGCTAGGATTCCCGCCCTGTTCTTAGATATTAGAATATGGAGAAAGGACAAAATCTACATGTCTGGGCAGTTTTGAGGCTGCTGGCTTCTGTTCACCTGGCCAGAAGTCTTGAAGCATGTCAGGTGCTTGGAGGAGCCATCAAGGTACTCTGGAGCCTATTTCGTGGGGGTCCCACAGCACTTCCCCTTAACTTCTCTAGTTCATGGCATCAAATGGAGCTGTGGGAATGGAGCAGAAGAGTTCTCTGTAGAACAGCTGGTGCAGCAGATTTTGGACACCCACCCAACCAAGCCTGCACCCCGAACCCACGCCTGTCTCTGCAGTGGGGGGCTTGGTAAGTTACTCCCTGACTCTGTGGCTGTCTTCCCACCTAGCCACTCTGCTCTTACTCAGGCCAGGGAGATATCTGTCTTGATGGGATTTGCATGCTGATTTGCAAGTCTTTTTGCATGTCCCAGAAAGAGGGGCCAGATGAACAGAGACCTTCCCATCTGGGTGTACACTGGCTCCAGCCTTCTATTCAGCTGCTCTTCCTGTCTTCTACCTTTAGCAATTCCTGTCCCTTCAGCACCAATTACACCCAGCCTAGTTGGCACCCCCTTGGTTCTGTTCTTTTGTCCTTTTCCTATTTCTTTACCTTTTGCTTTTAGCTACTCTCCTAAGCCCTCTGTTCTCCTCTACAGTGTTCCTCTGGTCCTGCTAGTTTTGAGGGGAAGTGGGGAGAGGGAGGGGCAATAAAGGATTGAGGGAGAGACCAGACATTTCTGATGCCTCCCTGTGGCTACAATCAGTATTACACCTCTGGTCTATAGGGCAGTCCCAGGAAATATTTTTGAGGGCTACCAGATAGGATGTGGAAGGCTGCAGAAGAATGTGTCTTATCTCCTTTCCTTGCTACTCCTCTCCACTCCAGGTTCTGGGAGCCTTACCCACAAATGCAGCAGCACGAAACACCGCATTATTTCTCCCAAAGTGGAGCCCCGAGCTTTAACCCTTACCTCTATGCCCCACCCTCACCCCCCCGACCCTCCTCCACTAATAGCCCCACTTCCCCCAGAGCTCCCCAAAGCACACACCTCCCCATCTTCTTCCTCTTCTTCCTCCTCATCAGGTTTTTCAGAGCCCCTAGAAATCAGACCTAGCCCTCCCACTTCTCGAGGGGGTTCTTCAAGGGGAGGCACTGCTATCCTCCTCTTGACAGGACTGGAGCAGCGGGCTGGGGGCTTGACACCCACCAGGCACTTGGCTCCCCAGGCTGATCCTAGGCCTTCCATGAGTTTGGCAGTGGTTGTAGGCACTGAGCCTTCTGCCCCACTGGCTCCTCCCAGTCCTGCCTTTGACCCTGATCGTTTTCTCAACAGCCCCCAGAGGGGCCAGACATATGGAGGGGGGCAGGGAGTAAGCCCAGACTTCCCTGAGGCAGAGGCCGCTCTTACCCCTTGTTCTGCCCTAGAGCCTGCTGCTGCCCTGGAGCCCCAGGCAGCCGCTCAGGGTCCCCCTCCACAGTCGGGAGCAGGTGGGAGAAGAGGAAACTGCTTCTTCATCCAAGATGATGACAGTGGGGAGGAGCTCAAGGGTCAGGGGGCTGCCCCACTCATACCTTCACCCCCTCCCTCACCCCCACCCTCACCTGCCCCCTTGGAGCCATCGAGCCGGGTAGGAAGAGGAGACGCCTTGTTTGGAGGACCTGTTGGGGCCAGCGAACTGGAGCCCTTCAGTCTTTCATCATTCCCAGACCTTATGGGAGAACTCATCAGTGACGAAGCTCCGAGCATCCCTGCCCCAACCCCCCAGTTCTCTCCTGCTCTTAGCACCATCACAGATTTCTCCCCAGAGTGGTCCTACCCAGAGGTGAGCCTAATGCTTATCTTCCTTTCTCCTTCCCATTTGTTTTCTTTTTCTTTTCTTTTCTTTTTTTTTGAGACAGGGTCTTGCTTTGTCGCCAAGCGCCAGGCTGGAGTGCAGTGGTGCAATCTCGGCTAACTGCAATCTCCACCTCCTAGGTTCAAGCAATTCTCCTGCCTCAGCCTCCTGAGTAGCTGGGACTACAGGTGCGTGCCACCATGCCCAGCTAATTTTTGTATTTTTTAGTAGAGATGGGGTTTCAGCATGTTGGCCAGGATGGTCTCGATCTCTTGACCTCGTGATCCACTTGCCTTGGCCTCCCAAAGTGCTGGGATTACAGGCGTTAAGCCACCACACCCAGCCCTTCCCATTTGTTTTCTGTGGTCCGTGACCTAGTTTCCCTGTTTTCATGGCTTCTTAGTTCTCTACCCAATCTCTTTTTTTTTGAGACAGAGTCTCGCCCCGTCACCCATTGCACTGGCATGATCTCATCTCATTGCAACCTCCATCTCCTGGTTTCAAATGATTCTCCTGCTTTAACCTCCCGAGTAGCTGGGATTACAGGCACCTGCCATCATGCCCAGCTAATTTTTGTATTTTTAGTAGAGACAGGGTTTCACCATGTCTCGAACTCCTGACCTCGTGATCTGCCCACCTTGGCTTTTCACAGTGCTAGGATTACAGGCATGAGCCATTGCACCTGGCTGCCAATCTCTTTTTTACGTAGAGTGAAGCTACTTTCCTGTTTCCAGAGTCCTCAGCAACTTAACCCTTTTTCTTTTCCTCTCCCTTCCACTTGTTATCATGGTTTCTGGAGTTTCCTAGGACCTCATTCCCTTGCTAACTGTTTTCAGGGGTAGGGAACTGGGGGCTCTGCAGCCTCGAGAAGAAAAAAGACACCAGGGATGCGACTGCAGACTTTGAGTAGCTGAAAGACTGTTTTCAGCGTAGAGAAGTTCTGTTTTATGCTGCCTCTGAGATGAAAAGGAGGAACTACAGTGGGGGTGAATTAGCCCAAGAACAGAATCTCCTTCTGGTGACAGCTCTGTGGTAGCTTTGGGGGAGGTCCTGAATCCCCAGTTGTTGGCAGATTCAGGTAGAAACCAGGTAACCACTTGGCAGGAATGCTGGGGAGGGATAGACTAACTGACCTCACTCCATGGGCTCCTGTTTATTCCTGTACCCCAGACTCTAGCACAGGACCTGCCATATGGTAGATACCCTCTAAGGGTCTGAATAAATGAATGAATGAGTGGGTGGATGAATGCCCAACTCCAGTCACATGCTCTCTTGACTTCTGTCTGCAGGGTGGGGTCAAGGTGCTCATCACTGGTCCTTGGACCGAGGCCTCCGAGCATTACTCCTGTGTCTTTGATCACATCGCAGTGCCAGCCTCACTTGTCCAGCCTGGTGTCTTACGCTGCTACTGTCCTGGTATGGGGATTGGGAACCATAGAGGGAGGGATTGACATGTGGGCAGTTAGGACAGATCAGGACCTCCAGGCTTCCAAAAAGCATTGGGAACAAATGGCTTGTTTTGAGAGCACAAGGACTTCATCCAGTCCTGAGTTTGAGCCCCAAGCTCTCCCAGCAGGCAGAAGAGCCTGGACTTTGGTGTCAGAAGATCTAGGTTCTGGTCCAAGAAATCTACTCCTTAGCTGACCAGTGACCTCAGATGAGTCTGATCCTTCCTGAGGTCCTTGGCCTCCCCTCCTGTAGGGTTAGGCACGGACCAAAGGGATTTCTAATGTCCGTCCAGGCTTTCTGGCTTAGTTAGAGCTAGAGTCTCCAACTCCAATCCCGGGAGAATGAGAAAGAAGAACTGTGGCTTTCCTCTAACCAGTCTTGGGACAGAAGGACACTGGCTTTTAGACCTGTATTGTCCAAGTATGGTAGCCATTAGCCACATGTGCCTATTTAGTTAAAAAATACTTAAAATGCACTTCCCCAGTCTCATTGACCACATTTCAACTCTTCAGTATCGACACGTGGCTGGTGTTACCCTATTGGATAGTGCCGATATAGAACATTTTTTTCATTGCAGAAATGTCCTATTGGACAGCACTGGTCTAGACTTCATTGCCAAGGTTCGTCTCTGCCCTTTTGCCACCAGCCTTGGTCTTACCCTGCACTCAAAAATCAGCCTTACTATGGGACCTCAAGGACCACCAGAGTGACAGATTGGCAGCTTTACTGTCTATGAGTGTGTTCTCCCCAGTCTCTACAGCCCCAGTCAACGTGTGTAAGGAAAGGGGATGAGACCAGATAAGCTGGGGATTGGGAGGAAATATCTCAACATCTGGTCTTAGGATCAGGACCTGCTGGTTCCATCCTTCTGGCCACTGGACACTGTTTATGAGCAGCTAGCTCCCCTTTCCTCCATCTTAGTAACGCTCATAACTTCTGGACTCTAATCTGGGGATCAAGAGGTTTATCTACCATCAGATTGTTCATAACTATAGGAGTCTCTTGACCCTCAGTTTCCAGACTTTCTTGCTGAATAACAAGTATCTTCAACTACAGGGTTTAGAATACAAGGGCTCTTTGGCCTATAATATGTAGTAAGTTCTCAAATGAATAGACTCCCTTCCCAGTTAGTGCCAAGGCCACTGAAGCCAGGGCCTCTTGGCCCACAGCAGGGCAGTAGGGGAAATAGATATGGAATGATTGTCTATGGCTCTGACACAGATAGCCAGAGAAGGAGCAGGGAAAGAGAGCCCTTCTTGCTGATCCTGCCCTCTCCAGCCCATGAGGTAGGGCTGGTGTCTTTGCAGGTGGCAGGGCAGGAGGGGCCTCTTTCTGCTTCTGTTCTCTTTGAGTATCGAGCCCGCCGATTCCTGTCTCTGCCTAGTACTCAACTTGACTGGCTGTCACTGGATGGTGAGTACCTAGCCCTCTGACCCCAAGTATCAGGCCCACAGCCTTTGAGCATGACATGCTCCTAGACCCCTCAGGGTTCAGGTGGCCACCACTGAGCCCCCACTTTACCATTCTTTTTTTTTTTTTTTTCAGTCATTTCATTACTGATTTCTAACTGCAGCAGCAAACTTCCCTAATTTCATCTTCCTCATAAACTTGGGGTCATTTTTATACCAGTTCTTTTTTTTTTTTTTTTAAGACAGAGTCTTGTTCTGTCACCCAGGGTGGGGTGCAATGGTGCGATCTCAGCTCTGCCTCCCGGGTTCAACCAATTCTCCTGCTTCAGGCTCCTGAGTAGCTGGAATTACAGGCTTATACCACCATGCCCAGCTAATTTATATATATATATATACATTTTTTTTTTTTTGAGACGGAGTTTCGCTCTTGTTACCCAGGCTGGAGTGCAATGGCGTGATCTTGGCTCACCGCAACCTCTGCCTCCTGGGCTCAGGCAATTCTCCTGCCTCAGCCTCCTGAGTAGCTGGGATTACAGGCACGCGCCACCATGCCCAGCTACTTTTTTGTATCTTTAGTAGAGACGGGGTTTCACCATGTTGACCAGGATGGTCTCGATCTCTCGACCTTGTGATCCACCCGCCTCAGCCTCCCAAAGTGCTGGGATTACAGGCTTGAGCCACCGTGCCCGGCCTTTATACCAGTTTTTTCTTCTTTAATTTTTTTTTTTTTTTTTTTTTTTTTTAAGAGATAGGGTTTCACCATGTTGACCAGGCTGGTCTCAAACTCCTGACCTCAGGTGATCCGCCTGCCTCAGCTTCCCAAAGTGCTGGGATTATAGGCGTGAGCCACCACACCCAGCTATCCCAGTTCTTGACCTGCCCTCTCAATCTCAAAGTGTGGAATCTAGACAAGGAAGGCCAAGAGGCAGGACAGGAACAGGGTCTAGAGCAATATATAGGTACTATGCACAAGTATATATATGCTTATATATTTATTTCATTTTATTCTTTTGGAGATGGAGTCTCACTCTGTCCCCCAGGCTGGCATGCAGTGGTTCAATCTTAGCTCACTGCAACTTCCGCCTTCCAGATGTAAGCAATCCTCCTGCATCAGCCTCCTGAGTAGCTAGGATTACAGGCGCTCACCACCACGCCTGGCTAATTTTTGTGATTTTAGTAGAGATGGGGTTTCACCATGTTGGCCAGGCTGGTCTCGAACTCCTGACCTCAAGCAATCTGTCCCCATCAGCCTCCCAAAGTGCTGGGATTACAGGCATGAGCCACCACACCCAGCTATACTTACCTATTTAAATTTCTATCGTTTTTCCTCTTTTGATTATAAAGACATGAATTCACTAAAGGAAATATGGAAAGTACATAAAAGCACAAAATAGAAAATAAAAATTTCCTATACTGCTACTTTTCAGTGATATCCATTGCTAATATCATGGTGTACTAATAAAAACACAGATGCATATACATACATGTATATGTGTGTGTGTTTGTTTATTTAAATCTGGGATTGTTTTTGTTCCTATTACTGATTATCTCTCTTGTGGCCTTGAGAATTGTTTGTCTGCACCTGCTGCTTTCTCAAGGTTTGCTTTTCTCTGTCTCTTCTGGGTGTCTTTGTTGTTGCCTCTTGGTTTCTCTCAGTTCTACTGCTGTCCATGTTGTTTACCTTAGTCTCCCTCTCTCCTTACTTCTCTCTCTCTGAAGCTCTGGTCCCTAGTTTTGCCTCACTCTTGGAGCTGGCCCCCATCACAAAGCCTGTGCGTGTGTGTTGGGTTGCTTGTCTCTGACTTGAGTGAGCCTACCTAGAGATCTGGCCAGGTCTCTCAGTCCTGTTCTCTCTCTGTCCTGCTCTGCGACTATTCATCACCTTATTTTTCTGTGCTGGTCTAATCTGCATGTTACCATCTCTCCTGTGAGTCTCTTCTATCACTCTTCATTTCATTTCTTCTTGAACCAGTGTCTTAACTTGCCTCTCTTTTATTGTCCTCTCTTACTGCATGTTTGGCACTTTCCCCTATCTCTCCTTTGTCCTTTCTCTCTCCTTCATCTTTTTTGCTCTCTCCTCCCTTTATCTTACTTGGGTTTCTGTTAATCATTCTCTGTCCTATCCTCCCTTACTATCACCTCTGTGCCTTCATCCCCTTCTATCCTGGCATCTCAGAACATCTCCAAACTTCACCCTGTTTCTCTGTGTCAGTTTTCCTATGGCTCTGATCCCCTCCTGCCTCCCCTTCTTGTCCTTGTTTGATCTCAGGAGGGGACAGATATAGCTTGGAGTGTGTGTGTGTGTGTGTGTGTGTGTGTGTGTGTGTGTGTGTGTATTTGTGGATGGGGGGAGGAGGAGGAGGAGGAGAAGGAAAAATGGACATGGCTATCCATCTCTGTCACCTTCCCTCCCCCACCACCGTCTTTGTGGACAGCTGCGGGGGGCTGGGAGGAGGGGGAGGTGCTTTTCAAATCACAGTCCCTGAGCTCTTTGGGGCAGCCATTATTAGAGAGGAGGACTCTGGAATCCTTCAGCTTCAGCATGGGGGACAAAGGTAGTGTCTGCTGCAAAAACTGATGGAACGTTGCACCCAGGAAAAGGCTTAGGGGAAGTGTGGGTACATGGGTATTTGGGGCAGCTGGGGGCTGGATGGCTATTTGGGAATTCCTACTATCTCTGTACCCTGAAGGAAACAGTTTTGGTTCCAGATCTGAGTTCTAGGTCAGTGGGTAATATTAAGAGCCCTAGTTGCCGGGCGCGGTGGCTCAAGCCTGTAATCCCAGCACTTTGGGAGGCTGAGGCGGGTGGATCACGAGGTCAAGAGATCGAGACCGTCCTGGTCAACATGGTGAAACCCCGTCTCTACTAAAAATACAAAAATTAGCTGGGCATGGTGGCACGTGCCTGTAATCCCAGCTACTCAGGAGGCTGAGGCAGGAGAATTGCCTGAACCCAGGAGGCGGAGGTTGCGGTGAGCCGAGATCGCGCCATTGCACTCCAGCCTGGGTAACAAGAGCGAAACTCCATCTCAAAAAAAAAAAAAAAAAAAAAAAAAAAAAAAAAAAAAAGCCCTAGTTTAAGGACTGAGTTCTGGTGCACTTTATTTAGGTGAGTGGGTAAAGGACCTGTTGTTTTGGGGAACATAAAAGAATATGATTCTGTGTCCTCATCCCCAGATCTTGGGACAGGTCCAGCCTTGGTGTTCAGGGCATCACCTAGACACTGCCCACTCAGCCTCCCATACCCATTCCCCCTCAGACAACCAGTTCCGGATGTCCATACTAGAACGACTGGAGCAGATGGAGAAGCGGATGGCAGAGATTGCAGCAGCTGGGCAGGTGCCTTGCCAGGGTCCTGATGCTCCTCCCATTCAGGTACTTCTGTGAGGAGGGAAGTGGTCTATGGTGGGGAGCAGGGGGAGGACGCAGCTAAAGAAAACGTGTAGCATGTGTGACTCTCCTCCCTCTCCTGTCCCCAGCCTCCTCAGCCAGTCTTCCCTCTCCCTGACGTTACCCTGTCCCATCCCCACCTTGTGGCAAGAGTGGCTATTCTGGGCACCCTCTTGCCATGACAGGCTTCAGACTATTTCTGGTCTGAAGAAGGGTGGAGGTGAAGGAGAGGGCGGGGGAGGGGTCAGGAGCATTGGGGCTCAGGTCTCTGTGGGTCCCAAGTTTCTGAAAGAAGAGGTCTGAGGAAAGGCTCAGAGAAGGCTTCTGAGGGGAGAGAAGCCACTTATGAATATGGCAGTACTCTAAGTTGATGGGAAGGCACATGGGTAAGATGGTGTGAGGTCTGGCTGCTAGATGGGCTGGAGGAAGTGGCTGTGGGAGTAGGAGACACTGAGGCCACACAGGAACTTGATGGGCCACCAAAGGTCCTGGTGGCGGGATCCTAGAATGGGACGTGAGAGGAGGGGGCAAAATTAGAAGCTGGGAGGACAGATGTGAGGTGGCCATTCTAAACCAGGGGAGCAGATGCTCAGGTCTCTGCCTAAGAGTGTGTATATCACAGGATGAAGGCCAGGGGCCTGGGTTCGAGGCACGGGTAGTGGTCTTGGTAGAAAGCATGATCCCACGCACCACCTGGAAGGGTCCTGAACGTCTGGCCCATGGAAGCCCCTTCCGGGGCATGAGCCTTCTGCACCTGGCTGCTGCCCAGGGCTATGCCCGCCTCATCGAGACCCTGAGCCAGTGGCGGTGAGCAATGGCAGCTGGGTGGGGGCTGGGCAGCCTCTGGGACAGAAGTGTCAGGGGACTGAGGAGGACCTGGGGCCCTGCCAAGAGGGAGCTGGGGTCATTGTGGGAAGGGAGGGGGCTGAGAGAGGACTAATATCTTGGGGAACTTTCATATCCTGATTTATGACACTTTGACTTCTTGACCTCCTTAGTGTCCTTGACTGCTTCTTCCCACCGGCCCTGTACAGCTTGCCTCCTAGTCCCTTTACTTCTGATATTCCTACTTTGTCCACTTTTTCCCTGATTGGGCTCTGTTGTCTCTCCCGCAAACCTTCCAGGAGTGTGGAGACTGGAAGCTTGGACTTAGAGCAAGAGGTTGACCCGCTCAACGTGGATCATTTCTCTTGCACCCCTCTGGTGAGGATGATGATTCCTGAGTGCACATGGGGCAGTGGGCAATGGAAACAGCCCTTGAAATGGAAGATCCTGAGGAACGCAGGGAGTGGGGGGGCTAGGGTCTGAAGACCTGACTACCTGGAGGAGGAGCCCCAGGCCTCACCTCCACCTCCGTCTCCTGCCTGCTTTCTCAGATGTGGGCTTGTGCCCTGGGACACCTGGAATCTGCTGTGCTCCTTTTCCGCTGGAACCGACAGGCACTGAGCATTCCCGATTCTCTGGGCCGTCTGCCATTGTCTGTGGCTCATTCCCGGGGTCATGTGCGCCTTGCCCGCTGCCTTGAGGAACTACAGAGACAGGAAGCTTCAATGGAGCCCCCGCCTGCCCTGTCGCCACCCTCCTCCAGCCCAGACACTGGTGAGTGTGGCCCTAATCTTTTGGAGAGAGAGATGTGGATAGAATGAGAGGTCAGGGCAAACCCAAAGGGTGGGAAACAAGTAAGAGAGGAGACAGACCACAGAGACAGAGATGGGAGATAACAGATGCAAAAACAGGGAGACTGAGAACAGGATGGGGGAGGCAGGAGACTCAAGTGAGGGATGGCCATGGCTCCTGCTGCCCTCACTCTCTTCCCTCCCCACACAGGTCTGAGCAGCGTCTCCTCACCCTCGGAGCTGTCGGATGGCACTTTCTCCGTCACATCTGCCTATTCTAGTGCCCTAGATGGCAGTCCCCCCCCTGCACCTCTGCCAGCCTCTGAGATTACTATGGAGGACATGGCCCCAGGCCAGCTTTCCTCTGGTGACCCAGAGGCCCCCCTACTTCTCATGGACTATGAGGCTACCAATTCCAAGGGGCATCTCTTCTCCCCTCCTGCCCTCCCACCAGCCTCAGATGATGGGGCTACTCCAGAGGATGCTGACAGCCCACAGGCTGTGGATGTCATCCCGGTACTGCTTATATTGATGGACTTATGGGGGCTAGAAGTGGAGTACGGTGTAGAGATGGGGTGAGGCCAGCTTCCATGAAGCAGAATCAAAGTCTGGCTCCAATTTAGGAAGGGGCCATTTACTTCATTTTGGGACAGGCAAAGCAGGCTTTTGCTTAGTTCCTTTCAGACCATGTGACTTGGAAGTCATGAGGCAGCAAAGGTTAAAAATTCTGGCTGGTCCCATAATTCAGATGTTGGGAAATTTTTTTTTACCAGGCTTGGTAGCTCATGCCTGTAATCCCAGCACTTTTGAGAGGCCGAGGTGGGTGGATCACTTCAGGCCAGGAGTTTGAGACCGGCCTGGGTGACATGGCGAAACCTCATCTCTACCAGAAATGTAAAAATTAACTGGGCATGGTGGCACATGCCTGTAATCCCAGCCGCTTGAGAGGCTGAGACACAAGAATCACTTGAACCTGGGAGGCACAGGCTGCATGCAGTGAGCCAAGATTGTATCACTGCAACTCCAGCCTGGGTGACAGAGCAAGACTCTGTCTCAAAAAAAATTTTTTAAGACAAAAAACATAAAAAGTATTAAAAATTCTGTCTGGGTACGATGGCTCACACCTGTAATACCAACACTTTCAGGGAGCAAGGTGAGAGGATCACTTGAGGCCAGGGGTTTGAGACCAAGTCTAGGCAACATAACAAGAACCCCATCTCCACAAAACATAATTTTTAAAAAATTATGTAATTGTAAGGCCGGGCGCGGTGGCTCAAGCCTGTAATCCCAGCACTTTGGGAGGCCGAGGCGGGTGGATCACGAGGTCAAGAGATCGAGACCATCCTGGTCAACATGGTGAAACCCCGTCTCTACTAAAGGTGCAAAAAATTAGCTGGGCATGGTGGCACGTGCCTGTAATCCCAGCTACTCAGGAGGCTGAGGCAGGAGAATTGCCTGAACCCAGGAGGCGGAGGTTGCGGTGAGCCGAGATCGCGCCATTGCACTCCAGCCTGGGCAACAAGAGCGAAACTCCGTCTCAAAAAAAAAAAAAAAAAAAAAAAAAAATTATGTAATTGTAGCTGCTTGAGAGGCTGAGGTAGGAGGACCCCTTGACCCCAAGAAGTATGAGGTTGCAGTGGGCTGACTGTGCCACTGCACCCCAGCCTGGGCAACAGAGACCCTGTCTCTGTAACAAAAATTCTGGGGAATATCTTCAGTTAGAGTCTGGGTTGTAGGAGTTACCTGTTGATCCATGTAGGGACAAGGTTCTAGGAGAACCAGGATGATGGGAGGGCATCTGGGAGTTGTGTGGAGCGGTAAGGTTGGCAAGATGAGAGTATCTGGCAGTGATCTCATGCAGGAAGGAAGCTTGCACATGATAAAGCTGAGAAAGTCTTGTGGAATGAAAGTGAATCTTCCAGCCTTGTTCTCTGCTAGAGACTTTTGGGACATACCTGCTTTAGAGAGACTAATGGAGTAAGTGGGTGGCATTTTAAGTACAAAAACTTTGAGAACTCCACAGTAGGCTGTATTGTGTCCAGCAGTAAGTGCTGGAGCAAAGGCCAGATGGGAGCCATTCATCAGGTTAATAGTTGGCAAGTGTTGGGCTGGTTCCTGGTGAGCTGAAGGGGAGTAGGGGGTGGGCACAGCCAAGCATATGAGGATGATGTGCTGGCCAGCTGGCGTAAGGCAGGCCCAGGTAGGACAGTGGATGGTTGGCCTAAAAGGGTGTCAAGTCCTCCGTTTGTTCAGCTTCTGAATCCCCATTTGGAATATCTCCTTTTTAGCCTATATTCTCCATAGCATCTCAGCACAGAGGGACCCCCAAGTGGCAGCCCAATCAGTATAAATGAATGAGTCTGGAACAGTGACCCAGAAAGACAGGGTTACCAGTGCCTGCCAGTGAGAGAAGGAACGAGAGAGGAATGGACTGAGGTTACAGCTTTGGCAGGGCAGGAACATCAGGCAGGTAGGGCCCCTAAGGGTTCATTCAGCTTGTCCCTCCATCCAGGTGGACATGATCTCACTGGCCAAGCAGATCATCGAAGCCACACCAGAGCGGATTAAACGAGAGGACTTCGTGGGGCTACCTGAGGCTGGAGCCTCAATGCGGGAGCGGACAGGGGCTGTGGGGCTCAGTGAGACCATGTCCTGGCTGGCCAGCTACCTGGAGAATGTGGACCATTTCCCCAGCTCAACCCCTCCCAGGTGACCAGCTCAGGACAAAGCCTCCAGATTCTTCAAAGGAAGTGGGAGGAAGGAAGAAAGCTGGTTTTCCCACAGCCAAAGCTCCTTTCTGGCAGAGGTCCCAGGGCCTTGGAGAAGGGAACTGAACTGGCTGATGAACTCTTCAGCCGCTCTCCAGATTCCTTCATAGCCATCCATAGGTGGCAAAAGAGGGACTTTAGATGCTTCATGATACCCTCTTTCCCTGTCCCCCACAGCGAACTGCCCTTTGAGCGAGGTCGCCTGGCTGTCCCTCCAGCACCCTCCTGGGCAGAGTTTCTCTCTGCATCTACCAGTGGCAAGATGGAAAGTGATTTTGCCTTGCTGACACTATCAGATCATGAGCAGCGGGAACTGTATGAGGCAGCCCGAGTCATCCAGACGGCCTTCCGGAAGTACAAGGTCAGATGGGGCACGGGTCTGAGGATGAGCTACACAGTCTTGAATCGGGAGACCGCGGGCTCCCCGGGCTTTTGGAGGATGAGTAGTCATGCAGACAGGCCTTGGATGGGGTAAAGGGCTAGAGGAACTCCAGAAAAGTTGGAGGGACAAATCAGATATCCCATTATGTGGGTCACGAGGTGCTGAGACTTCTCTCCCCTCAGGGCCGGCGGCTGAAGGAGCAGCAGGAGGTGGCAGCAGCTGTAATCCAGCGCTGTTACCGGAAGTACAAGCAGGTGAAACCCTTCTCCCTCAAAAGCATACCCACCAACCCATACCCACATCCACACCCACACCTAACCATTCCACACTGTTGGCAGAGCCCTAACTCCCCTTCTCTCTCCACAAGCTGACCTGGATTGCACTTAAGGTATTAGACATGATGTCTGAGTGTGAGTTGTCTGTGATGATTCAGTCTTTCCTTGAGTGTGTGGGTTAGAAAAAGAGCCTTGCATCAGCCTAACCTTGGGTGACCCTCAGGGCGTTTGGTCTCTGTCCCTCTATTTCAGCCCCTGTCCCTCCTCCCCACCCCTGCAGTTTGCACTCTATAAGAAGATGACCCAGGCGGCCATCCTGATCCAGAGCAAGTTCCGAAGCTACTATGAACAGAAGCGGTTTCAGCAGAGCCGCCGAGCGGCTGTGCTCATCCAGCAGCACTACCGCTCCTACCGCCGCAGGCCTGGGCCTCCCCACCGGCCCTCGGCCACCCTGCCTGCCCGCAACAAGTAGGGTCCACCCCCAGCTCTCTGTGCCCACCCACTGTGTCCAAGCCATTCCCTGCCTAGGGTTCCTGGGGGGCTGAAGGCATGCAGTGCCTGGGGGTTCTGTGAGGTCCATCTTTTGTTTCTTTCACCAGAGGCTCCTTTCTCACCAAGAAGCAGGACCAGGCAGCCCGGAAGATCATGAGATTCCTGCGGCGCTGCCGACACAGGTACTCATCCCTTCTTCCCCTTGGCTTTTGCCCTGCCACCCGTCGGGATCCACCAGTCTCCCCTGACTTTTATTCTCTCTGCAGGATGAGGGAACTGAAGCAGAACCAGGAGCTGGAAGGGCTTCCCCAGCCAGGACTGGCCACCTGACCTGGCCACTGCTTTTCTCACCACCCTGGGGGCGCCTCGTGCAATCTTAACAGGGAGAGGGCTTTCTGGGGCAGGGGGCTCCCCTGTTGGCAGCTTTCCCGTTCACCTTTGCTGGAGCCCTTCATAGGCCTCCTCCCTCTTCCCCATGCCTTGCTCCCAAACCCATCTCCTCTTCCCTCTTGGTGTGCCCCGTCTCTTTTGGTCCTGGCTCCAGAAGACCCGCGCCCCACATACCTGCATCTTCCGCTGTGACGTCCGGAGCCCTGCCTGCCCCTGGTCCCCAGCTCCTCCTGCCTGCACCCGACTCCGCCCCCCTCCTGACTTGCCTTATTTATTTGTTCGACGCGTCTCTGAATGTATCCGCCTCGGTCCCCACCTCAGCCTTCGCTGCGCACGCCCCTCGTATTTCAGGGCTTACCGTGCCCACCACCTGACTCCGCATGTTTGCGTCTGTTTCCTCCCTCTCTGGCCCTGTGTTACCCCATCACCCGACTCTGGCCACCGACCTCAGGGCCGAAGGGGAGGGGGTGTGCATAGGAACGCCTTGCGGAGTCCGCCCCGTCCCCCGAGGGGAGGGGGCTTGTACATACTGTAAGATACAGAGTATAGTGAATAATCTATTTAAGGCGCCGCAGGGAGGGCTGCACGGCCGGGCTTGTGGTTCTCTGGCGCGGCGGGGCCACCTGCCAGCTCCGCGGGCACTTTCTACTTGTGCATGGGCTTGGTTTATACGAATTGCCATTAAACATCGCTGCACCAGCAAGCCTCCGGCCTCTGTCTGCGCGGGAGGGGTGGGGCAGGGCGGGGCCTCGGCCGGCTGGAAGCAGCCACGCGCCCCGGACCTCGCATCTGCGCCCAGGCAGGGAGGGTGCGGAGTTTTCCGCCTCCGACGTGTTTCCGGCCTTAAAGGCATTCCGCCCTTCCCTTTAAGACGCACCGCCCCCCTCTCAGTCACTCCCAAGATGGCGGACCTACTGGGCTCCATCCTGAGCTCCATGGAGAAGCCACCCAGCCTCGGTGACCAGGAGACTCGGCGCAAGGCCCGAGGTGAGGATCCCAAATTCACAACCGCCTTCCTTCGCCCGGTTCTCGCGACCGCACTTTTCCCTCTTTGGACAATGCCGCCACCTCAACCTTGAAAGACCCCCTCACAGGCCTCTTCCGAGACCCTCAGAGTCCCTAAAAGGGCTGCTGACACGCCCGCTGTTCTTAGCGGACAGTGATTGGCTACCTGAAAGATAGCGCTAGCCTCCTGCCTCTTCTCCCGACCCTGGCCTTCCGTAGTCCTTGTTTCCCATTAGCCAGTCGGCCCGCCCGTCCGCCGCTTCGCTGCTCTGATTGGTAAGATGCCTTCAACCTGCCGCACTCCTTCCCCGCCCCCCCAGCTCTATTTCGATTGGATTTGGGGCACGCTCATCCACTATACCTTCATCTCTATTGGCTATCTCAACTTAAAGCTCTGCCTTCTGAGGCCTGTTCGACCTTCCTTCGGACACATCCCAGCCTCAGCACTCCCATTGGTTGCTGGGTTTTCCGTGTCTTCTTGCCCCTCCTGCTTCGTTTAACCCCGTCCCTTCTGCCGCCTTCCGACAACCTTTTTCTCATCTGTAGCCTTAAATTCCCGAGCTGTCCGGGCGGATCGTGGTGTTGATTGGAGGAGGGATGAGAAAGCCCGCCGGGTCCGATTGGCCACTGTCTCCGCCTGCGTTCTCTGAGTAGCTTCCTTGCGGGCGGGTTGGAGTTCGGCTGCCGGCGTAGGGCGCGGCCCGGTGGGGCGGTGGGAACCTCTCCGGGGTTGCTTGTGCCGCGGCGTGAGATGACCCTGGCGGAACGCTGGACTCCAACTTCCAAACCTGCAAGCCTTGAGCGCGAACGAGCCCCATCCCGACTCCTCACCGTGCCCCAGGGGGGCCAGGGCAGGCAGAACGCCTTCAAATGTTTAAAGGCTGCTGAATGCCTACACCTCGTCCCCTTATTTCCTTAACCACTGTTAGGGTCCAGGGATACCCCTCAGGCCAAAATCCGGGGCTGGAACGCTCATTGATACAGTGATCTCACGGAAGTTTAATAACCAACTTGATGGTGCTCTGAGAGAAAAATAACTGTGAGAGCGGCCACCCGAGGTTCTCCCCCAGTCAAGAGTGAGCTGAGATCAGAACAGATGATTCCGTAAATGAGAGAGAGAAGCAAAGCGTTACAGGCAGAAAAGTCTATTTAAAATCTCTGAGGAAGAAGGAAGCATGATGGGAATGGGGAACTGGAATTCTTTAATGCTCCGATGACTGTCTCAGTGGGGGATCACCAGCGGCGTTGACAGACTAGGAAGCTTAAGGTAGTCACTCGCCTGAGGTCACATGGTTGGTTTGGTAGCGGCAGAGTTTCAAACCCAGGTGTGACTGGGTTTGAAGCCTGTGTTTGTTTTTTGAGACACAGTTTAGCTCTTGTTGCCTGGGCTGGATTGCAATGATGCGATCTCAGCTTACTGCAACCTCCACCTCCTTGTTTCAAGCGATTCTTGTGCCTCAGCCTCCCGAATAGCTGCGGATTACAGGTGTGTGCCACCAGGCCCGGCTAATTTTTGTATTTTTAGTAGAGATGGGGTTTTGCCAGGTTGGCCCGGCAGGTCTTGAATTCCTGACCTCATTTGATCCGCCCACCTTGGCCTCCCAAAGCATTGGGATTACAGGGGTGAGCCATCACGCCTGGCCTGAAGTCTGTGTTCTTAACCATAATCTTATGCCACTTCTCTAGATGCAGAGAAGAATCGAAACCAAGTAAAAACCGAGTATAAACTGGTAGCTCACACCTGTAATCCCAGCACTTTGAGAGGCCGAGGTGGATGGATTGCTTGAGCCCAGGAGTTCAAGACCAGCCTGGGCAACATGGAGGAACCCTGTCTGTACAAAAAAAAAAATACACAAATTGGCCAGGCATGGTGGCTCACGCCTGTAATCTCAGCACTTTGGGAGGCCGAGGCAGGCGCATCACAAGGTCAAGAGATCGAGCCATCCTGGCCAACATGGTGAAACCCCGTCTCTACTAAAAATACAAAAATTAGCTGGGCGTGGTTGTGCGTGCCTGTAATCCCAGCTACTTGGGAAGCTGAGGCAGGAGAATCGCTTGAACCTGGGAGGTGGAGGTTGCAGTGAGCTGAGATGGTGCCACTGCACTCCAGCCTGGCCACAGAGTAAGGCCCCATCTCAAAAAAAAAAAAAAAAAAAAAATGGCTGGGCGCGGTGGCTCAAGCCTGCAATCCCAGCACTTTGGGAGGCCGAGGCGGGTGGATCATGAGGTCAAGAGATCGAGACCATCCTGGTCAACATGGTGAAACCCCGTCTCTACTAAAAATACAAAAAATTAGCTGGGCATAGTGGCACGTGCCTGTAATCCCAGCTACTCGGGAGGCTGAGGCAGGAGAATTGCCTGAACCCAGGAGGCGGAGGTTGCGGTGAGCCGAGCGCCATTGCACTCCAGCCTGGGTAACCAGTGAAACTCCGTCTCAAAAAAAAAAAAAAATTGACCAGGTGTGATGGTGTGCTCCTGTGGTCCCAATTCTCTGCAGGCTGAGGTGGGGAGAATCGCTTCAGCCTGGGAGGTTGAGGCTGCAGTGAGAGGTGATTGCACCATTGTACTCCAGTCTGGGCGATGGAGTTGAGACTCTGTTTCCAACAACAAAAAACGAGAGTCGCTGATGATCAGAGGGATGAGAGCTCCTAGGCTCTCAGGCCTTGGGGCTCCAAAGGATAACGGAATAGTAGATGAACAGGGTTCCTGCCTTCCAGGAACTCATATTATGCTAGAGGAGACAAACAAAAAGTTATGATATGTTAGTTCTCTATGCTTTGCTGGGTGTCCGAGCCAAAGGAGCTTGGAGCCCAGGGGAAGAAGTAACTCTGACTCATGGTGGATCTCAACGTTTGCAAGAGGAGGAAAAGCATTCCAAGCAGAGGAACAACATGTGTAAAGGCATGGAGTTATTTTAAAATGGGGAGAGGGCTGGGTGTGGTGGCTCATGCCTATAATCCCAGCACTTTGGGAGGCTGAGGCAGGTAGATCACTTGAGATTAGGAGTTCAAGACCAGCCTAACCAACATGGTGAAAACCTTGTCTCTACAAAAAATAGAGAAAAAAAATTAGTCGGGTGTGGTGGTTCACACCTGTAATCCCAGGTACTCGGGAGGCTGAGGCAGGAGAATCACTGGAAACTCAGAGGCAGAGGTTGCAGTGAGCCGAGATTGTGCCACTACACCCCTGCCTGGGCACAGAGCAAGACTCCGTCAATCAATAAATCATGGGGAGAGGTTCAGTGCAGCTGGAGGGGATTCAGATCTGTGGAAGAAGTAGGCCTTTGGCCGGGCGTGGTGGCTCAAGCCTGTAATCCCAGCACTTTGGGAGGCCGAGGAGGGTGGATCACAAGGTCGAGAGATCAAGACCAACCTGGTCAACATGGTGAAACCCCGTCTCTACTAAAAATACAAAAAATTAGCTGGGCATGGTGGCGCGTGCCTATAATCCCAGCTACTCAGGAGGCTGAGGCAGGAGAATTGCCTGAACCCAGGAGGCGGAGGTTGCGGTGAGCCGAAATCGCGCCATTGCACTCCAGCCTGGGTAACAAGAGCGAAACTCCGTCTCAAAAAAAAAAAAAAAAAAAAAAAAAAAAAGAAGTAGGCCTTAACGATGGGAAGGATTTGAAATGGCAAAAGAGAAAAACATCTCAGGCTGAAGAGAAGGAATAGGAAGAAGCATGCACCCAAATGTTGAGAGGTAGTAAAATCACATTGTGGGGAAGACAGGCAAGAGTAAGAAGCCCAGGTTAGAAATTCATCCTCCTCCTTTAGAGGCAGAGGAGATCTGGTGCAGAGGCAAGATCTAAGGAAGAGGAAGAAAGTTAAATAAGACCCCTAGCCAGGCGAAGGGACTCATAGCTGTAATCCCAGCACTTTGAGAGGCTTGTCTTGAACAACTAGCCTCAAGTTATCCTCCTACCTTGGTCTTTCAAATTGCTTGAGAGGCTTGAGCCTCTGCACCCAGCCCTAGCTAATTTTTTTTTTTTTTTTTTGAGATGGAGTCTTGCTCTGTTGCCCAGGCTGGAGTGCAGTGGTGTGATCTTGGCACACTGCAACCTCAATCTCCCAGGTTGAAGCAATTTTCCTGCCTCAGCCTCTCGAGTAGCTGGGACTACAGGTGCATGCCACCATGCCCAGCTAATTTTTGCATTTTTAGTAGAGATGGAGTTTCACCATATTGCCCAGGCTGGTCCTGAACTCTTGACTTTGTGATCTACCCGCCTCGGCCTCCCAAAGTGCTGGGATTACAGGCATGAGCCACCACACGTGGCCTAATTTTTTTTTTTTTTTTTTTTTTTTTTGAGACGGAGTTTCGCTCTTGTTACCCAGGCTGGAGTGCAATGGCGCGATCTCGGCTCACCGCAACCTCCGCCTCCCGGGTTCAGGCAATTCTCCTGCCTCAGCCTCCTGAGTAGCTGGGACTACAGGCACGCGCCACCATGCCAGGCTAATTTTTTTTTTTTTTGTATTTTTAGTAGAGACGGGGTTTCACCTTGTTGACCAGTATGGTCTCAATCTCTCGACCTCGTGATCCACCCGCCTCGGTCTCCCAAAGTGCTGGGAGTACAGGCTTGAGCCACCGCGCCCGGCCACGTGGCCTAATTTTTTAAAAAAAGTTTAAAGTTGCCGGGCGCGGTGGCTCAAGCCTGTAATCCCAGCACTTTGGGAGGTCGAGGCGGGTGGATCACGAGGTCGAGAGATCGAGACCATCCTGGTCAACATGGTGAAACCCCGTCTCTACTAAAAATACAAAAAATTAGCTGGGCGTGGTGGCGCGTGCCTGTAATCCCAGCTACTCAGGAGGCTGAGGCAGGAGAATTGCCTGAACCCAGGAGGCGGAGGTTGCAGTGAGCCGAGATCGCGCCATTGCACTCCAGCCTGGGTAACAAGAGCGAAACTCCGTCTCAAAAAAAAAAAAAAAAAAAAAAGTTTAAAGTTGCCGGGCGCGGTTGCTCAAGCCTGTAATCCCAGCACTTTGGGAGGTCGAGGCGGGTGGATCACGAGGTCAAGAGATCGAGACCATCCTGGTCAACATGGTGAAACCCTGTCTCTACTAAAAATACAAAAAAAAAAAATTAGCTGGGCATGGTGGCGCGTGCCTGTAGTCCCAGCTACTCAGGAGGCTGAGGCAGGAGAATTGCCTGAACCCGGGAGGCGGAAGTTGCGGTGAGCCGAGATCGCGCCATTGCACTCCAGCCTGGGTAACGAGGGAAAACTCCATCTCCAAAACAAAAAAAAAAACAAAAAAAAAACAAAAGTTTAAAGTTGGGGTCTCAGGCATCTTCAGGCAAGAGACAGGCAGATCTCTAGAGCCCAGGAGTCAGGGGAAAAAAAAAAAAAGACACTTCACAGCTAAACTTGGACACCTACACTCCCAAAGGAGAAGGGTGTCAGATTATCCATTTCTGCTTCATCCTGTCTGTAGAAGTGGGAAGTGGGGCATTTCACAAAATATAGGAAGTTAAATAATTTCCCCTTCTGGCTGGGCGTGGTGGCTCACGCTGTAATCCCAGCACTTTGGGAGGCCAAGAAAGGAGGATCACAAGGTCAGGAGTTTGAGACCAGCCTGGTCAACATACTGAAACCCTGTCTCTACTGAAAATACAAAAATTAGCTGGGCATGGTGGTGGACGCCTGTAATCCCAGCTACTCAGGAGGCTGAGGCAGGAAAATCACTTGAACCCAGGAGGCAGAGGTTGCAGTGAGCCATGATCATGCCACTACACTCCAGCCTAGGTGACAGAGTGGTCCATCTAAAAATATATATATATATATTTTTTGGCCAGGTATGGTGGTTCACACCTTTAATCCCAGCACTTTGGGAGGCCGAGACGGGTGGATCACGAGGTCAACAGATCGATACCATCCTGGCCAACATGGTGAAACCCCATCTCTACTTAAAAATACAAAAATTAGCTAGGCGTGGTGGTGCATGCCTATAGTCCCAGCTACTCTGGAGGCTGAGACAGAAGAATTGCTTAAACCCGGGAGGCGGAGGTTGCAGTGGGCCAAGATTGCACCACTGCACTCCAGCCTGGTGCCTGGTGACAGAGCGAGACTTTGTCTCAAAAAAAAAAATTTTTTTTTTTGCCCTTTTCTTATGTAGGCAATGAGATAATAGACTCTTTGAGGCCAGGGTCTTAGTCTGTTCTCCTCACTTTCCTGGATGCATTATAGTTGTTTTTTTGTTTCTTTCTTTTTTTTTTTTAATACAGGGTCTTGCTCTGTCACCTATACCTCTCAGACTCAAGTGATCTTCCTACCTCAACCTCCTGAGTAGCTGGAACTACAGGCATGCATCACCATGCCTAATTCTTTATTCTTTGTAGAGACAGAGTCTCACTATATTGCCCACACTGGTCTCAAACTCCTGACCTCAAGCAGTTCTCCCACCTCAGCCTTCCAGAGTTCTGGGATTGCGCACACCCAGCCCAAACATTTATTTAATGCCAACAATGTACAAAGAACTAACTCTAGGCTGGGCATGGTGGCTCACACCTATAACCCCAGCACTTGAAAGCCAAGGTGGGAGGATTGGTTGAGGCCAATTGGAGACCAGGCTGGGCGACAAACTGAGACCCCATCTTTTTTTTCTTGAGACGGAGTCTTGCTTTGTCACCAGGCTGGAGTGCAGTGTTCAATCTTGATTCACTGCATCCTCTACCTCCTGGGTTCAAGCTATTCTCCTGCCTCAGCCTCCTGAGTAGCTGGGACTACAGGCATGCTCCACTACACCCATCTAACTTTTTTTGCATTTTTAGTAGAGATGGGGTTTCACCATATTGGCTAGGCTGGTCTTGATCTCCTGACCTCATGTTCTGCCCTACTTGCCTCCCAAAGTGCTGGGATTACAGGCGTGAGCCACCACACCTGGCCTTGAGACCCCATCTTAACAGAAAACTTAAAAAAACACATTATCCAAGGCCGAGTGCAAAGGCTCCTCAAGCCTGTCAATCTGAGAGGCCAAGGTAGGAGGTTTACTTAAGGCTGAGTTCAAGACCAGTCTGGGCAACGTAGTGGGACCTCATCTCACAAATATATTTTTTAAATTATTTTTTAAAAAGTAGCTGAGCATGGTGGCACACACCTATGGTCCCAGCTACTTGAGAAGTTGAGGTAGGAGGATCCCTTGAGCCTGGGAGATCACGACAGCAGTGAGCCGTGATCATGCTACTGCACTGCAGCCTAGACAATAAAGTGAGGTTCTGTCCCCAAAATAAATAAATAGGCTGGGTGCAGTAGCTCACACCTGTAATCCCAGCACTTTGGGAGGCTGAGGCAGGTGGATCACTTGAACTCAGGCATTTGAGACCAGCCTGGCCAGCATGGTGAAACACTATCTCTATTAAAAATACAAAAATTGTCCAGGTGTGGTGGTGTTTGCCTGTAATCCCAGCTACTAGGGAGGCTGAGGCAGGAGAATCTCTTGAACCCAGGAGATGGAGGTTGCAGTAAGCTGAGATCATGCCACTGCACTCCAGCCTGGGTGACAGAGCCAGATTCATCTATAAATAAATAAATAATAAAGTATGTATGTATACTTGTGAATCAGTTTCCTCAGTGGAGTTGGAAAAGAGGGTTAAGCATTATTCTGATCTTCGTCACTCCCACCAAACTGGGAGCGCCATCTTATGTCTTAATCATCTAAGTACTTCAGGGTCTTGCTCTGTGTCAGATACAATTAGTCCCCGCTTCTCCCTTATCCAAGGTTTTGCTTTCCAAGGTTTTAGTTACCTGCAGTCTGGAACTATTTTTTTTTTTTTTTTTTGAGACGGAGTTTCGCTCTTGTTACCCAGGCTAGAGTGCAATGGCACGATCTCGGCTCACAGCAACCTCCGCCTCCTGGGTTCAGGCAATTCTCCTGCCTCAGCCTCCTGAGTAGCTGGGATTACAGGCACGCGCCACCATGCCCAGCTAATTTTTTGTATTTTTAGTAGAGATGGGGTTTCACCATGTTGACCAGGATGGTCTTGATCTCCTGACCTCGTGATCCACCCGCCTCGGCCTCCCAAAGTGCTGGGATTACAGGCTTGAGCCACCGCGCCCGGCCCCCAGTCTGGAACTATTATACACAATAAGGTATTTTGAGAGAGAGAGCATAGTTACAAACTTCTATTCAGTACATTGTTATAATTGTTCTACTTTATTGTTATTCTTAATCTCTCTCTCTTTTTTTTTTATGGAGTCTCGCTCTGTTGCCCAAGCTGGAATGCAGTGGCGCGATCTCTGCTCACTGCAACCTCTGCTTCCTAGGTTCAAGCAATTCTCTGCCTCAGCTTCCTGAGTAGCTGGGTTTACAGGCACCCCCCACCATGCCTGGCTAATTGTTGTGTATTTTTAGTAGAGATGGGGTTTCACCATATTGGCCAGGCTGGTCTTGAACTCCTGACCTTGTCATCCACCCACTTCGGCCTCCCAAAGTGCTAGGATTACAGGCATGAGCCACTGTACCTGGTCTGTCATTCTTTTTTTTTTTAAGACGGGGGTTTCACCATGTTAGGCTGGTCTTGAACTCCCAACCTCAGGTGATTCGCCCACCTTGGCCTCCAAAATGCTTGGATTACAGGCATGAGCCACTACACCTGGCCAGTCTGTTATTCTTAATTGATTATTGTGCCTAATTTATAATTAAACTTTATCATAGGCATATATGTATAGGAAAAGACCTAGTATATATAGGGGTCAGTACTGTCCACAATTCCAGGCATCCACTGAGAGTCTTGGAATGAACCCCTGTGGATAAGGGGGACAACTATGTAGAATAAATGTCAATAAATACTTGATGAATAAACGCTAACCCTATCTTCCCAGCCTGATACCTCCCAACAGACACCGCACTTCACCTGAAGCCTTAAAAACTTTCCCCCCAACCCCGGCCGGGCGTGGTGGCTCACGCCTGTAACCCAAGCACTTTTGAGGCCAAGGCAGGTGGATCACCTGAGGTCGGGAGTTCAAGACCAGCCTGACCAACATGGTGAAATCCTGTCTTAAAAAATAAATTAATTAAAAAAACAAACCAACCTTCCCCCCATGCTTCCAGTCCTGGCCTCATGCTGCCATTTCTCACCTCCAGAACAGGCTGCCCGCCTGAAGAAACTACAAGAGCAAGAGAAACAACAGAAAGTGGAGTTCCGTAAAAGGGTGAGATCAACTGGAGTGATCAATGGCAGTGTCAGGAAGGACTTCCAATATGTTAAAATGGGAAGGTTGAGTACTCAGTTTCGCTGAAAATGTCTCAAGAGAGGTGACGCCTGGAAGCCAGTGGCATGGAGGCTGGGGAGGATGATGGGGAGGTGTAGAAGCTTTGTTGGCTTAGCTGGGGATAGGGGTACTTGGGTGGAGCCATTGTCTCATATCTTCTTCCTTTCCCCTCTCCCAAGATGGAGAAGGAGGTGTCAGATTTCATTCAAGACAGTGGGCAGGTCAAGAAAAAGTTTCAGCCAATGAACAAGATAGAGAGGAGCATACTGTGAGTGTCTCTGGGCTGGAGTGGGGATGGAAATGGGTGGCTAGGGGGCATGAAAGGGCCAGCAGCGGGCTCCTAGAGGAGGGCACTAGGCCTACTCCTGATTCAAGATACTCTTTCCCCTCTGTTGTCCCATCCCAGACATGATGTGGTGGAAGTGGCTGGCCTGACATCCTTCTCCTTTGGGGAAGATGATGACTGTCGCTATGTCATGATCTTCAAAAAGGTAAAAAGCCTGAGTTCCTCACTCTTTCCTCTCCCCTTTATAGCCTTATCCCCTCTCCCTGACCAAGGAATGAGATGAAATCTTTGTATGGACTTTGATCCCATCATTCTGCTCTTCTCCAGGAGTTTGCACCCTCAGATGAAGAGCTAGATTCCTACCGTCGTGGGGAGGAATGGGACCCCCAGAAGGCCGAGGAGAAGCGGAAGCTGAAGGTGAGTTACTTCGTTCCTGAGAGGGGTGGGGGTTTGGGTTGGGCCTCTGAGCACCAGTGCCCTCCCCTTCCACCCCTAGGAGCTGGCCCAGAGGCAGGAGGAGGAGGCAGCCCAGCAGGGACCTGTGGTGGTGAGCCCTGCCAGCGACTACAAGGACAAGTACAGCCACCTCATCGGCAAGGGAGCAGCCAAAGACGCAGCCCACATGCTACAGGCCAATAAGACCTACGGCTGTGGTGAGGCCAGTGCAGCTGGGGTGGCTGGGAAGAGAGCCTAGGATGTGAGGGGAGGGAGTGGAGGCTGAGGCATGGGTTTCTAGGCCCTCCTTACCCTCCTCTCTGCCCCTAGTGCCCGTGGCCAACAAGAGGGACACCCGCTCTATTGAAGAGGCCATGAATGAGATCAGAGCAAAGAAGCGTCTGCGGCAGAGTGGGGAAGAGTTGCCACCAACATCCTAGGCACCCCGCCCAGCTCCCTTTGACCCCTGGGGCAGGGCAGGGGACAGGGAGGGACAAGGCTGCTGCTATTAGAACCCATCCTGTAGCCCCACCTCTGAACCGCCTCCTACCAGCTGTCCCTCAGGCTGGGGGAAAACAGGTGTTTTATTTGTCACTGTTGGAGCTTGGATGTGTGTGTGTGTGTGTGTGTGTGTGTGTGTGTGTGTGTGAGTGTGAATGCACAAGTGGGTATTTAATCTGTATTATTCCCTGTTCTTGGAATTTTCTTCCCCATGGGGCTGGGGTTACTTTACATTCAATAAATACTGTTTAACCCAATGTGCTGGTTTGTTCCAACACAGAAAGGTGGGTCCTGGAGCCACTGGTAGGGAAGAAGGGGAATAATTTTCAATTGAGCCGCATAAAATTGCTGTTTGTATAGGTTAAAGATGGCCAATTGGCACTATCACAGGTTTTTCTATTTGTTTGTTTTGAGACGGAGTCTTGTTCCATTGCCCAGGCTAGAGTACAGTGGTGTGATCTTGGCTCACTGCAACCTCTGCCTCCAGGGTTCAAGTGATTCTCCTGGCTCAGCCTCCTGATTATCTGTGATTACAGGAGTACGTCACCAGGCCCAGCTAATTTTTTGGATTTTTAGTAGAGACAGTGTTTCACCATGTTAGCCAGGCTGGTCTCTTAACTCCTGACCTCAGGTAATCTGCCTGCCTCAGCCTCCCAAAGTGCTGGGATTATAGGCATGAGCCACCACTCCTGGCCTAGAGGGTTTTATAAGCAGTATTTTAAGAGTGCAGTCAGGCTGGGTACAGTGGCTCACACCTGTAATCCCAGCATTTTAGGAGGCCAAGGCTAAAGGATCACTTGAGGCCATGAGATCAAGATCAGCCTGGGCAACATAGCAAGACTCTTGTCTCTACAAAATTAAAAAATTGACTGGGTACAGTGGCTCACACCTGCAGTCCCAGCACTTTGAGAGGCCAAGGCAGGAGGATTGCTTGAGCCCAGGAGTTTTGTGACCAGCCTAGACTACAAACCTCTACAAAAAAAGAAAATAAAATATACAAAATTTAAAGATTAGCCATGTGTGGTGGTATGCACCTGTAGTCCCCGCTAGTTTGCAGGCTGAGGCAAGAGGATTGCTTGAGCCCAGGAGTTTGAGGCTACAGTGAGCTATGATCACATCGCTGTACTCCCACTTGGGTGACAGATGAAGAAGCCGGCTCAAAATAAATATATAAGATTATAATTGCTAAAGTCAAATACCTTGGCTTTGGATCCTAGTCCTGCCAGCTGCTGGGTAAGGCATTTAACCTTTTATGCCTCAGTTTCCTCCCCCATAAAATAAGGATAATTATGGCAGCTATCTGACAGAACTGTCTGAATGATTGCACAGGGCAATATAAGTCAAATATTTAAAACCGTTTCAGATCCTTTGAGCTCCACAGGAGAGGCAGCTGCTGTCATTATCAGTCTCATCCTCACAAAGCCCTCATTAGGACTAGCCTCACTCCAGCGTCCTCTGCAGACCATTTCAGTTCCACAGCCAGCATCCCCCTCCTGGTGGTGGCATAACACTCACTCCCCACACTGCTTCCCTCTCCTGGAGCTGGCTTTGTGTGTGTGTGTGTGTGTGTGTGTGTGTGTATGTGTGTGTGTGTGTTTTAAAAAAAACGGAGTCTTGCCCTGTCACCCAGGCTGGAGTGCAACAGCACAATGTCAGCTCACTGCAACCTCTGCCTCCTGGGTTCAAATGATTCTCCTGCCTCAGCCTCCTGAGTAGCTAGGATTACAGGCATCTGCCACCACACCCAGCTAATTTTTGTATTTTTAGTAGAGACAGGATTTCACCATGTTGGTGAGGCTGGTCTTCAACTCCTGACCTCGTGATTTACCTGCCTCAGCCTCCCAAAATGTGGGGATTACAAGCGTGAGCCACTGCACCCAGCCTGGAGCTGGTTTCTTAATCCATCTGCAACTCTTTATTTAGTTTTTTGTTTTCATTTTTTTGTTCCTTTGAGACAAGGTCTTGCTCTGTGGCCCAAGCTGGAGTGCAGTGGTACGAACATGGTGCACTGCAGCCTTGACCTTCTGGGCTCAGGCGATCCTCTCACCTCAACCTCCCAAGCAGCTGGGACTCCAGGCGTGTGCCAGCATGCCTGGCTCCACTGGCAACTCTGCAGTTTCATTTAACATATAGCATCTGTTTCCCCACCTCCTTCAGAAATGTGAATGCCTCTGTTGTTCTAGATCCACCAGGCTCCTCTCCTGAGTCCCTCATCTCCTTTTTGTCTTAGCAGGTTACACATCTATTTGCCTCCCCTCCCTGCCCCTGTCTCTCTACCTCCTGTCTTTCCCAGCTCAGCCCAGAAACCAGCATCCCTCTCCTCCCTCCCACAAAGAAGCACACAGCTGTCTTGGTTGGCACCAGTGTTTATTTCAGGAAGCAGGTCTGGAAGACCTCGGTCTGTCTAGTGGAGTCCTGGAGCCTCCAGCTTCTCACTTGGCCTTCGGGTTGCGGAACTTTCGTCCAGCAAATATGGCCTTGTCCCCAAGAGCCTCCTCGATCCTAGAATGCAGGCAAAGTCAGGGCTGCTGCCTTCCAACCCAACAGCCTTCAGTACCCCAATGCCCAGGCCCACTGCTCCCACTGTACCTCATGAGTTGGTTGTATTTGGCCAGACGCTCTGAGCGACAGGGGGCGCCAGTCTTGATCTGATGAGGGAAGAAGGATTTGGAGGGTTGGGTGAGGCTAGAGAAGAGGGAGTTGGACCTGGCCCCCCAAGGGAGCATTCACCTTAGCAGGAGGAGGCCAGGGACCCCAAGAAAACTTGGTCAGACACTCAGTAGAGAGAAGCTACAAGTACCTGTCCTGTGCAGAGCCCCACCACAAGGTCAGCAATGAATGTGTCCTCAGTCTCCCCAGAGCGGTGGCTCACCATCACTCCCCAGCCGTTAGACTGAGCGAGTTTGCACCTGGGTGGAGAGGACATTTGATGAGGACTTCTGGAATCTCCTCAGTGGGAGAGCAGGGGTTGGGTGGGGCCTCTCCCTTCTGTTTTGAGTAGCAGACACTCTGCAGGGAGGGCAGTTCCTTGAGAAGTAGGAGAGGAAAAGACTTCTCATCTTGATTTTGGGCTCTTGAGATGCTGCTGAGAAGAACAGCAGAATCAGAGAGGAATAGTGTGGCGTGGGGGTGAGGGTCATGCCAGGGCCACAGTGGCAAAGCTCTTGGAGTCAGGCCAAGGATTAGTCAAAGCCTTGAGGTCAAGGTGTGGGTAGGTCAGGTGCCAGGAGAAGGGTAACCTTGGAATTAGTGAGACTGTAGCTGAACTGAACAGAGCTGGGGCAAAGGGAGGCTATGGTGAGCCTCAGGGTCAGGAGGCACTCACGCCTGGATCGATTCAGTCACCGAGCCAATCTGGTTGACCTTCAGCAGCAGACAGTTGCAGGCCTTCTTCTCAACGGCCTGGGCAATCCTCTTGGGGTTGGTGACTGTCAGGTCATCCCCCACAATCTGGATGTCCACTCCCGAGAGGAACGAGGTCCAAGTGGCCCAGTCATCCTGGTCAAAGGGGTCCTCGATGGAGACCACTGGTGGGGGTTGGGAGCAGAGACAGGGCTAGAGGTCAGAAGGGGCCTCACGGAGGGGTGATGTGGCAGAAGAGCTTAAATGGGGATTTCAGTGGGGCTGAGGATGGGAAGGATCCAAGTCGATGGTAAAGCAGGTCACTGACATCAGTATGGTAGGGAGCTGCGTGGGACTCGGGCAGGGACACTAGGGCACCTGAGACCCTCACCAGGGTAGTTCTTGATGAAGCTCTTATACAGCTCTCCGAGCTTCTCCCCAGTGATGTGCCGTGCGGGATCATCAGGTGATTTGAAGTCTAGATCGTACTTCCCATTGCGATAGAACTCAGATGCTGCCACATCCATGCCGATCACCACCTTGTCTGGATAACCAGCTGCCTGGATGGCCGTCTTCAGCAGCTCCAGGGCTGGGAGAGGGGCAAGACAGGACCTGAGACTCCAGTGCACGCTTGTCTGCAGCCTCCCCTGCCCGTGTGGAGATCCAGGGAGTCTGCCCACCGGGGTGCTCAACACTGACCTTCATTGTTCTCCAGGATGTTGGGTGCGAAGCCACCTTCATCACCCACATTGGTGGCATCCTTCCCATACTTGGCCTTGATGACCCCCTTGAGGTGGTGGTAGACCTCAGCACCAATGCGCATGGCTTCCTTGAAGGAGCTGGCTCCCACAGGCAGAATCATGAACTCCTGCATGGCCAGCTTGTTTCCAGCATGGGAGCCCCCGTTGATCACGTTGAAAGCCTGAGATGGGGAGAGGGTGCCTGGACCTGGGCCGGGGCATAAGGGCTTAAGAAGGGATGGGGGCAAGGGTGTTTGGGTGGAAACCTGGCTTCACTATTTGTTGGCTCAGTGGTCTAGCATGAGTAATTTTGCTCATGAGCTTCTTTCCTCATTTCTTTTTCTTTTCTTCTTTTTTCTTGAGACAGAGTCTTGCGCTGTTGCCCAGGCTGGAGTTTAGTGGCACTATATCCGCTCACCACAACCTCTGCCTCCTGGGTTCAAGTGACTCTCCTGCCTCAGCCCCCTGAGTAGCTATGACTACAGGTGTGCACCACCATGCTCGGCTAATTTTTGTATTTTTAGTAGAGACTGGATTTCACTGTGTTGGCCAGGCTGGTCTCAAACTCCTGACCGTGATCCGCCTGCCTCAGCCTTCCAAAGTGCTGGGATTACAGGTGTGAGCCACCGCACCCGGCCTCTCTTTCCTCATTTCTATAAAATGGGGATAGCACCAACTTCCCTGTAGGATCTTTTGCTAAAAATTAGAGAAATTGAATGTAAAGTTCTTAGCATATGCCTTGTATATAATAGCTTAACACTTTTTTTTTTTTTTTTTTTGGTTGGGGGACAGAGTTTCGCTCTTGTTACCCAGGCTGGAGTGCAATGGCGCGATCTCGGCTCACCGCAACCTCCGCCTCCCGGGTTCAGGCAATTCTCCTGCCTCAGCCTCCTGAGTAGCTGGGATTACAGGCACATGCCACCATGCCCAGCTAATGTTTTGTATTTTTAGTAGAGACGGGGTTTCACCATGTTGACCAGGATGGTCTCGATCTCTTGACCTCGTGATCCACCCGCCTCGGCCTCCCAAAGTGCTGGGATTACAGGCTTGAGCCACCGCGCCCGGCTAGCTAACACTTTTATAGCATTTACTACATGCCAGGCACTAAGTACTTGACATTTTAGCTCATTTCATTCTCAAAACACCTATATTCATTGTTATCTTTTTTTTTTTTT